CACTAAATTATTATTGACGACTGATTTGAGAGTCTTGTGTATTTAACATGTACTGGTTTAGAAGCTAGAGCTAAGTTGTCGTAAACTGTCGTAAAATAGGATAACGTCTGGCCCTGTTTTGTCGCCCTCGTGTGGCACTTTAGGAAACAGCTGTGCTGTGGCTTTGAGATGTAGCCAGGGGAAAAAAGGACGACCCGCTGGGTAAACAACAGTGGATATCTTCGAAGGCTGGGATGGGAACTTCTTCGTGGGCTAATAGTGAGGCATTTGTATCTTTCACAGAACATACGCAGTAGTTTAGTCTCTGTGTCTTGCGAAATGTACCAGCTTATTCAAAATGGCCGAGTATTGTCCGGTATTTGGTGAGTGAAGTCTGCTAACGTTGGTTAGCTTAGCTCGTAGCGTATTCTGGGCCCATTAGCGTCGATGTTTCCTCTCAGCACAGCTCAGCTCTGGACTGTGTTGTCAGTTTCATACTCCCTGCCTTTAACGTTCCCTGTCGTTTCTGCACAGGCCTGCCAATTAGGCTTACCGTCTGTGTCCGTGTCCGTTTTGAAAGCCTTTTCTTCTTTCTCGACAGGATTTAACTGTAATTGTTCGAAAAGTGACGTTAACATATTTTGAAAAAAGGACTAAAACGCAGGTACGTGTTGTCTTTGTTGTCTTCTATCTGGATTTTACGTACTGCTAGTTGGCTAAGCCGTCTACGTTGGCTTTTCTTCTTCTCCTATAGAAATGTTAAGTACACAGTGGAAACATTTTATACATTGATATCTTTATAAATACGCGTTTATAAATCATCGGTCATATCAGCAATGTTTGTGGGACACATACTTAGTCTGCTGTATTTGTGAAACGTCGTAGTAACTTAATGTCATCAGTTTTTGTTTTTAGAATAAATTGTGTTTATGTAATTAAAATTCTGTAGTTCTTTATTTTGATGTCTTATCAGAGTGCTTGGCAGCACACCAGGACTGCTGACTATGTCTTAAATGTTAAATCATATGACACTGTAAATTTCTTTTGGCTGCTTTTATAATATCCACTGTGGCTCAAATTTCCTAACCATTACATATTTTTGTGAGAAATATGTGTAAACCAGTACCGAATATGTAATTGTGCTTAGGCTGTCCTCTGAGGCCCCTGAATTCATGCATGTCATTGCGCAGCTCTGTCACTGTGGTATCAGAAGGGGCTCTCAATCATTAGAGACTTGGGTGCAGAAACAAAAGTATAGTATTTGGACATAAAAAGCACAGTATAAATTCTACTAAATTACTGCTCAAATTCTAGAAATTTACAAAATCAAGAACAGCGCATGTTGACAGCACATTTGACTGTCAATGTTGTAGCTTTTGAATTGAGGCAGTGTAAGGGAAATTGAAAGTTGATCTAGCTGTGTCCTGAAAAAAACATTGTCATACCCTTGCTGATTTACAACTGATCGTAAATATATATTTCTATACAAATGTATTTGTGATTTTGTTTTAGTAAGTAGTTGTAATTGATAAATAGTTACACAACGATATTGGTAAATAAGCTTAATGTGGCAACTTTTGTAAAGCCAGTTCAACAAATTATTAGTATTCAGAGTTCTGCAATTATTATCAACTGAACAATGACTAATCCAGGACACAATATCAGTTGATAAATTTGTGTGGTGGTTCTTATTTTAATTGGAGTTAGTTTTTATAAATAACATGTAGAAATGGGACTACATTGTGATCACAAGGCTTTAATCTAAAGGAAGGTTTTTATGTTCACCAACAGTGCTAATTTCTCCCTTAAAAGCTGTGGCCATTATCTTCTTGGAAATATTTTTGCTTTGAAACCTTTTTTCTATATGGAAAACAGACACTTTCCTATCACAGTTAGTTGCTATTTGTTATTGTTATTTAAGATTACTATTTTTATATATTATTTTAGAACTTATAATGTGAAAGGTTTCCATTCATAGGCTAAAAATGAGAATTTCAACTGGTGTTGACCAAACAACATCTGTCTGGTGTCAATGCAAATTCAGTGCAGGTAATGTTTATAGTAATGTCACTTATTTTGCTGCATTCATATAGTGTTTGATATTAATAAACCATGCTCTACTGAATCCAGCACTACATCTGTTTTCTGCCATAATTCTTTTTTGCTAAGCACACACACTAGATTTTCTGTTTTCGGCAGTTTACTATTGATCTAGTGATTATTAAACTGTAAATTAGTAAATACAGTAGTTCCTTTATTGTTTTGGTGCAGTTACTTTAGTTTTGTGATATGTACATGGATAAAATCTAATTTTACTTTGTCAAATGTAGGTAATTAATTTACCTACAATTGTGATATTATCTTTAGTCATGTATGTGGTAAAGCATTGAATTCACACCTACAACTGAACTAATTGGATTGGTTTTGTAATTTACTTCATGAATTTAAGTTGCACCTTGCAAACAGTGTGGATCGTCCAATGTTTTTTTAAAAATAACCAATAACTTGTTCTTTGTCCTTTGTGAGGACAGACACATCGCCATGAAGAGTGAGGTGCCATCTGAAGCTGCTAGGAGACAGGAGCCTCTGAAGGAACCACTGGTTAACTCTGAGCCAGTGGAGGTTGCTAAGAGCTTCACTAATAACATGGAGGTGATTGGAAAGGCAGGTAGTGAATTTGAAACCCTGTGTGAGTCAAGGCATCGTCCCCTGAAAGACACAGGAGCACACAGAGACTCGGAACGGAGCATCCATGGGCGGAGAAAACGAAAAGGCCAACAGGCAGGACCATCAGACTGTTCCCTTAAGGAGGACCACATTAGTGAGAGTTCACTGGACCCACAGAGGTCAAGGGTAGAACTTTTACAGCACCCTAGTGAGGATGAACATAATCACGAATCCTCCTTTAGTGACTGTGCCTCTTCCCCTTCCTCAAGTTTGAGATTTGGGGACTCGGACACTCTTAGCTCAGAGGATGACGTCGAAGGTGGAGCGACAGGGGGCCAGCCCAAGGCTCCTGCCCTGACAGCTGGAGGAGCCACGGGACGTGGATTGCGGCCCATTTTAGGTCGCACTCGAGGACACCGCTCTCATAAATGGGTGCGGTCTGAGTCTGAGCCGGTGCTCCTCAAGCGGCCATGCCTGAGCCGACGGCCACTACATAGGAAACGGATTTTGAAAACAACTCCTGGAGGAGGGCAGCGGACTCCAAAACAAAAGGAGAGACTATTACTGCAGAGAAAGAAAAGGGAAGTGATTGCACGTAGGAAGTACGCTCTCCTTCATAGTACTAGTAGCTCCAGTGGAGAGGCGACCGATGACTCGTCCTCCACATCTTCTACAGAAGCAGAGGATGAGCTATATGTAGATGTCAGCAGCACTAGCAGTCAGGCCAACACTGCTCCTGTAGCCACAGGTAAGTGTACATTCTAATTTTGACAATAAAAGGCTGCTAAGGTGTTCTACAACAAAATATTTACAATAACGTTTGGCCTAAAAAACTAAACTAAAATATTTTGCAGTTTAACAATGAAAATGTCATATTTGAACTCAACTGTATACTATATATCTATACATCATGCAGATAAAGGAGCTGCAGCCATCTATACTTTAATGCAGCTCTGACATTTAAGCCATCACTTTCTGCTCTTAGTCCGGCTGCAGAAGCTTGGCCTACTGTGTGTATGAAAGGTCCCCCTAAACACCCTTACATAAAATATTTCAGCTTTTGCATCATGATTCAGTATAGCCTCCTCCCCCCACCCACCTAATAGTGTTTTATTGTTTTTTTCAGTGAAAACCATTAGCCTCAGAAATATTTCTGCTGCTGTGGCCCTTAGAGAGAATGGAAAGTTAGTTGTTTTCTGTGGTGGGAGGCAAATGGAAGAAATCCCAAGACACTGATGAGTGGCAGACTTTGCATAGTAACAGCCTGTCTCACAGGGGAAACAAGGCATGTGTTTACAACATGGAATAACAAGCATGTAAATGATGAAACCAACTTTCATCACATACGTTGTTAAGGGTTAGTGTAGGTGTGTAATGTCACCTGGGAACAGGTAATCCCTTTTTTTTTACCAATTGCTGTGAAAGAATGATACACTGCATGCAGAAAATATCAGACAATAACAAATCTGTTAGTGGTAATAAACTAACAAATTATAATTATCTCAAGTACATCTTCATCAGTCAATATGTGTACTATAAACTAAATGAAATTGAAAAGCTAGAACTAGGGTTGTCATGGTACCAGAACTAAAAGTAGTTGATACTAATACCTGTGAAATACAATAAAAATCAAAAAACAGAACCCATGTACTTTTACTTTTAAAGTACTACTTTATTAAAAAATGTTTTGAAACGGTCAAGTATTTAAAATCACTGTGCTTCAACATATTTTGCACAGAATTTAAATTACAGTACCAGCTGCCAAGAAGTAACTTTACATTCAAAAAAGATTTTTTGTGCGTTTGCTTCAACTTGGTACCAAAGTATTGGTTCTTGTGACAATCCTAGATAGAATTTATTTTATTTTTAACATTTATTACATTCATGCTTTAGGAACCTTATTTATTGTTTTTTTATTACAAAAAACTTCTATCACACTTTATAAATTCACATTAAGAATTTAAGATGTCTCTTTATTGCACCATTCACTTAAGCTATAAGATGCAATTGCCGACAAAACTAAAATGTGTGTTATTGTTTGTGTGGTTACCTGAAGGTTTCACCACAGTGCCAAGGAACAAATCTGAAGAGGGTGCTAAGCAGCATTACTCAGGAGACACTTGAACTGAAATCACAGTGGGAATTTATGGATGTTACAATCATGAGTCATTTTACGATCATGGCTGTATCACTCTTCTGTCTCCCAAAAAGTTGATTGAATTAATTTTAAACGTTATCATAATGTTTGATATTCAGATTAAATAAAAATCAAATCATACCAACTGGTCACAGATGCATCTAATTGTATCTAAAATATTTATCTAGTAACATTATTATTGGCATGATCCAAATGTCATGTAATGTTTCTGAGTTAATCATGAGAATTGTGTGGTAGATCTAATAAAAATGTGGGATCACTGATGAGTAAGTGATTGATCAAACAGTCAGCAGCTCTCACACCAAGATGTAGTGAAAATTCAATACGGACATTAGTAAAAATAAAATAATACAAGTTGATTTTACCTGAACATAAGCCTGAGTAAACCTATAGAATAGACTGTGTTCAGATATGTTTGTAGTTGCCCTCATTGCCTTCCAATGGGTCAGCAATGGTCTATATGAAGAGGGGTGGTAGTATGACGATTTAACATAGTACCGTAGTAGTAGTAGCTGTGTCTGTGATAAACTAGATTCTCCTATCAGGATGTGATCATGATTAATCGACAAACAGGAACTGGACATTGCCTTTGTACATGGTTCTGTGTAGTGTTTTTTTTGCTCATGTAAAAAAATAATGTTAAGTCAGAATGTTTTCACAATTTAAATTTATTTCTTCTATTCATCAAATCAGAATAAATTGTTAACAGAAGAAAAATCTTATTTGATAGAGAATGTGTAGGATTATGGCCACGGTTATAATAAAACATCCTGATGATCACCACCTTTGTACACGGGTTGAAACACAGTCATTTACTCACATACATTTGATTTGTTCAGGTGCCCTGGATGAAGATGTGGTGGTCATTGAAGCAACTCCGGCTCCGGCCCCTATCGTTCCCGCTAGTGAGGAGATCAATGTCACCTCAACAGACAGCGAAGTGGAGATAGTTACAGTTGGGGATAGTTTCAGGTAAGGAAACTCTGCTTTTTCAACAATGCTGTGAAATGTGTTAATTGTATTTCCAATGAGGATAAAACATAGGCAGTTAGTAGGTCGACAGTTCACCGATACAATTACCAAATGGATTGTGAGTGACAGTAGGTCAGTTAACATTGGTGAGGACAAGGATTTCACCATAGTAACCAACACCGGAAGTGTTAATTATTCAACTTGTATAGATTGCAATGTAAATCTGTAGACTGGGGTTAAAGTATTTATATTTTGAACTTCCTTTTATACCATAAACCTTTAAAGGCATTTGTATGCCACATGTAATTAAGCAAATTCTGTACTATTTTCAGGTTTTGTAACTATTGAACTTTTTTTGGATGCAACATTGTATTGTATAAATATTTAAGAAATATTTTCATGTGCGTTTAATTTGATTTTTGCAATTATACTTGGGCATTAATGTTTCAGCAAATTGGAGGTGATGGATTTCTTTATCCCAAGTTTATCTATAATTATTACAGTCAGTATTGAAGATACCTAAGAAAAAAGGGCTCCCCCTTTCTTCATTATACGGCATATGCAATTATGCACCAATTATCAGGAATACTGCATAAATATTTTGGAGTGAGAACAACACCAGCAGAGAAGAGCTCTCCTAGAACCATTATAGCAGCCTACGTCCTTCCTCTCTCTAGTGAGTTTATTTTATTATCATTCCTCATTTTATTCTATTAAGACTTCTTGACTTTGTGCTGCTCTAATTCTTTGTGTAAGCACAATATGGTTTAATTTTCTCATCCCTTATTTCTGTGTTGACCTCATTTTGTCTATTTCTTTGTGTTTAGTTGCCTGCTTCATATACATATGTCTGTAAAAGTCCGTAGCAATGATTGCACCTAGCTTGAAATGCTTTAGCCTGTTTTCCAGACTTTCATAGATGTCCTGGCTTGCCAGAAAATGTAGTGATGAGCTTTTCTGCAAGGGGGGATGGGCAATAGTGAAGCAGAGGAGCATAGAATCAAAGGCCATCATAAAGAGCAATGCAATCTGTATTTATACTGTCAATTATTGAGTGCATACATTTGTATGTAGATGATGTCATATTGCATATGCACACATGAAAACAAACCTACATTGTGTTTGGGGCTATATCAGTTTATTAATTCATTTACTCATTTTTTTGTTATTACATATTTTACATATTCTTGGAATACACAATATGTTCTATTTTTTTTTTCAACCCATACTGACTGGTTATGGTTCTCATGGTTGATGTTAGTATGATTAACTGATAATTGTATGTATTGTGCTTAACAAATTGGTCTTTTGTATGATATTTTCATGCCAAATTGATAAGAAACTATTTACAAGACTGTAGGAGACTGTCTGCTAAGTGCACTGATTGCTCAGTTTGGAACGGTGTTGAATTTATGGTACAGTTTATTGGAAATACCTTATCACAATAGAAGAAATGAACACACTAATGGCCGATAACTTATTTTATCCAGTATACGTCTGCATCTCTAGTAAAAACACATTACAGCAATGTTCATCTAAGAGTATTAATAGTATTAATAACATTAATATTAATAGTCTTGTGCATCCTGTTCATTCCCTGTCTTTTAAACCCAAACTCCCCGTTTTGGCTGCCAGTAACGTCAGCCCCAGCAGTTTATATTATATTACCACAGTACTCAGCCATGCTCTGATCCAATGGGGTGTGTGGCCTACATGATGCTGTTGTGGCTCCAACACAGCATTGGCAAACCATCAATTCCTTATTTTTCCTGTTTACAATGTACTGTTTTCCTCTTGTTTACCCCTGCTCACTCAAGGGTCTCTGTGGTAAACAGATATCTACAAATTAGTCCCAGTTCTGAATTAGACAGTTCTCCCTTGTGGGAATGCAAACTCCCTTGATTCACGCTTCAGCCAACCTATTTAGAGGCACAGGATGACCCCTGCAGACCCTCCCCTCTCTCAGCGCTGTTTGACTTGTTCCTGCAGCTTCTGCCTTTTTTGCAGGGAATCAACGCATATTCGGCCAAACTCTTCAGCTGAAAATGACCCAAAAGTGCATTTTCGGTTTTCTGCTGAAAGACTTTTATCACCGAAAATGTAATGCTGAAATTTTTTAAATTTTAAAAGGGGGTGCATCTGCAAAGAATCTCTCCACGTGGGGTTTAATTTATCACCTGAAATCCAAACATCCCAATCGCTATGCTGAATATGAGAGGAAGGAAAGCCTCTTTACGCAAAAGCGAGTCTTGGCTGCATACTGCGCAGACCAGGAGCTCCCCGTAACGTTCACCTCACACCAGTGGGTCTTAATAGAGAACATTCTCTCTTTTTGCCCCGTCTGAGCAGCTAACTAAAGAGATTAGCTTCTCTGATGCATCTGTAGCAGATGTTATTCCTTTAGTCACAGCACTACAGCGTCTTCTAAGCAAAGAGGTTGAGATGGAGGGAAAAACAATGAAAAGTACAATCATAGGTCTGTCAGCACACTTTTCACTAAGATATGTTCGAATCCTTTGCACTTCGTCGCGGCTTTACTTGATCTGCGTTATAAAGATAATTACGTGGATGCGGGAATAAAGCAGGGCGCACAAGAAATGATCCAGCAATTGACTTAAATTTTTGTTTTTATGAGAGAACATATTTAATTTTTAATTTTTTATCTTTCACCAGGCCAGTAGGCCTGTACATTATGATTTAATGTACACATAAGTGGGGTCAAGTTTAACATTTTATTTTAAATTTTATTTTATATTGTGCATTGTTGAAATGTGCTTAATACATAATTGTGTTATTCTATGAAACATTAATATTAATTTATGCAATTGCAGTACCTTGATTTTATTTATTCTAAATATGACAACAGAATCTCAGATTACTTTAGAAACGGGGAATATTCAAAACAAAATACATGTCACAAAACATGAATTAATATTGTCCAAAACTATATCTCAGGGAATTACCCCAGTGGGTTGCCAATAGGCCCCATCGTGCTCCTGTTTACTTTTAAAAAAATCCCCCCCAGTATAGCAGTGAAATTTCCAATCTTCAAATCTCCATGGCACCCAGTTTAACGTAGTCCCTTACAGACTCTGCCTGTCCCTTAGGTTTCTCCCTCCTCCTTCCAATCTCCTAACTATATCATACTGTGCAATTAGTTGTTGTTGGGGGTTGGATTGAGGCAGCTATTCCCTTGCCTCTCAGTCTCAAAGAGAAAGAAATTGAGTCATAGAAGCCTATGAGAGAGAAAATTAAATGGAAAGAAAAATTAGCACTCATTTGGTGGAATTATTTTCAACATATCTTTTGTTTCTACAGGTCACGGGCTGTTGGGGGTCTTAGCAGGATTTGGGCCAGTAGTTGTGCCCAGAATCGCCTTCCAGAGCGTGGACGTCATCGACTCTCCACAGTTATCCAACCACTGCGTCTGAACGCTGGTGAGGTGGTGGATCTGACTGTTGATGAAGATGGTAGGAAAAAACCCCAACACCTTCACAATCCTAGTATTTCAGTGTTGTTTACTTAACATGTTTCAGATGCTTTGATATATAAATAGTATATAATAATAATAATTTGTAATCTAGAAATCCTTCTTTCTTCTACTTCTAAAAAGGGGATGGGTTCTGGTTTTGGCAGAGAGCGCTACGTGTTCAATTGTTTCTCTCAAGAGAAACTTTTTGTCATTTATCCTCCCTTCATCACCCTCCTACGTGACACGCTGTTGCTGCAAATAACCCCACAGAAAGAAATTAATGACTAACAAATGGATGAAGTACTAGGGATGCAACAAAATTAAAATTGTTGGCCGAAACCGAAAATGAGGAAACCAAGGCCGAAACATGGAAAGAAATTATTATTATGCCAATTATTAATACCATTGTATTTATGGCTATGACTGTGTACTAAACCTCAATAAAATCAAGGCACTGCAATTGCATAAATTAATATTTATCTTTCAAAGAATAAAACAATTACAAAATTATGAAAATATTTAGCATTTTACAACAATGCACAATATAAAATGTTAAAATTAAATTATAATGTACAGGCCTACTGGCCTGCTGAAAGATTGTCAAATTATGCTTTCTCATAAAATAACAAAGTGCATTTAAGTCAATTGCTACATCTCATGCGTCATCATAACTTCCGTTCCGGCTGTTTTGTTTCGGTGATAAAGGTCTTTCAGCCAAAAATTGAAAATGCGCTTTTGGGCCACGTGAACTGAAATTAAGTGCTAATAGAAATGAGTGTTAACAGAAAAAGAAGATCACTTATTCTTTCCTTCTCTCCTCAGATCTCTCTGTTGTGCCAACAACGTCCGGCAGCCATCACACTCAAACAGTCAGATCGTCCTCCTCATCATCTTCCCATCATGCCTCTACCTCAGAGTTCAACGATGCCCCAGGCCCTTCTACTAGCTGCCCAGGGTCAATACCTGAAATTACACGTGCACAGAGGCTAATTGGCTCTTCTCGCACAGCCACAGAGGGTAACACATTCACACACACCACACTGTACACACCTTTGTACTTTTATAGCGTTAAAAACGCTGAGCTCCTGCTTCATTCTACATCTTAAAAATTCTTTAAATTCTTTCATCCATAGATGATGGCAGACCAGGTTTGTCAGGTACAGCAGTAGAAAATACTGGTGCAGCAATGCCCAGACTACCATCTTGCTGTCAGCAGCATTCCCCCTGTGGAGGCCTCTCTCCTGGTCACCTGTCCCTGAGCCACTCCCATTCAAGCTGTTTGCAGGCGTCATCATCACAGCAAACCAGCGGTTCGCAGCACAGCCACGGTCACAGCAACAGCAGTGCTCACCACTTCCTCCACCATGTCCATCATCCAGCACCACAGCCTCTGGGGTCGCTGCCATTTACAGAGCCCAGCTGCTCTGTGGAGAGGCCCAACACTCTGCCACCACCATGTGCTGGAGTCAGCAGTAGCACCAGCAATGGCAGTGGTAGTGGCAGCAGCAACACAGCCCACTACCATGACCAGGTCAGCTAATGCTTTTTATTTTAGTAAGTAGTCTCAATATTGCCCTGCTAGTTGTATCATTATTAAGTAAATAAGCTTGTGCTAGCATGAACTAAAAGTGCCTAAGTTTATTGGCAAGTTTTTGATGTTTTAGAAGTTGATCTGTAGTAAACAGTCTAGTCGTATAAAGGATTGAGTGTCCCAACAAATAATACTTTGACAATGTCTTACAACACTGATTCATAGCTACTTACATGTATAATACAGTAGTTATTCAGTGACCAATGCAAAACTATACAAAACTGTTCTAAACCAAATAGTCCCTGAAACCATAAACAGTAAATGTATGCATTCTAATTTCTAGGTAGGGTTAGCCTGAGGGTCTGCGTTACTTATATGGAGATTCAAAAAAAGATAATTCTTTCCTCTTCTTTTTGTAATCTGTCTGCTATTCTCCAACAGCAAACTCTGCCAGTCGACCTGAGCAACAGCAGTATTCGTAGTGGTTCAAATAATGGTGCACCTTTCCATGGGAGCACCTCAGCCTTTGACCCCTGCTGTCCTGGTTCAGCCTCACGGCCCCCTGCTTACGCTTCTCAGGCCACACCGGGCTCCAACCAGCCCAGTGTAGTGGATTCCTTCAACTCCTCCATGGCGGCTCAGCCCCAGCCCCAGGCACAACCTCAGCCCTGCAGACATTACATTCACCCCTCCTGTAAGTACATTCATGCCGGACAGGAAGGATGACATTTACTTGAGGATTTTTCAAATGGTCTCAAAGTGTTAGCTGGCTCATAGGAAAAGTCATTAATAAGTTCTGCCATAGTGCTGCCAGACACAGTCAAACATATTCACTCCTAAATTGCTGGCAGTGGGAGCTACACAGAAGTTGTCTTCATGTTTATGGTACTCATAATGAGTAGGGTTTGAGGTAATGTGAGAAATTGTTTTAGTAAAGTCAGGAAAGATAAAAACAAATACATGTTAATTTTGTCAGAAAAGTTCATTGTCTTGTTCCTTATTCTTTTCTAGATGGTTCTTTAGCACGCTCTCTGCACCATCAGCCCTCTTCTGCCTGTCCTCACTCCCATGGGAATCCTCAACTTACACCTCAGCCTGTACCACAAGGCGATTATGTTATTCCTCACACTGTCACCTTTCATCCACCACTGCCATCTCACCCTTCAGGCCATACTGTGCCTCCTGCGCCCCCTCCACCTCTTTCTTCCCACCACCTCTCAAGTTCCAGTGCTCCACTGGCCCAGCACCTGCCTTCAGACCCACAAACACTGCCACATCATATGCCTACACTGGGAGCCTCTGTACAAAGGCTGCATCAGCATGACATGCTGAGGGTTGAAGTCCAGAGGCGCAGAATGATGCAGCACCCCACGTGAGTACTATAGGTCTCTATCTTTCTATTCAGAAGAAATCTATGTTGAACCTTTATCTAAACCTCCTTTTTTTAACTGCATTGCAGACGAGCACACGAGCGTCCACCGCAACACCCTCATAGAATGCATCCCAACTATGGCCACGGACACCATATCCATGTGCCACAAACTATGTCTTCCCATCCTCGCCAGCCTGAGCAGAGAACAGCATGGTCAGTGTCGAACACATCAAAAAATTTCAAATGTCTGTTTTTTAGTATCTCATAAAACATTAGTATTATATTGGTGTTTAACCTTGGTTTTGGACTTTGGTTTGAATTTTGTTTTCAGATCTGGTAGAGATGCTTGATAACTATGTATGAACTGTTTTTGTAAACAGGGAGCTTGGCATCGAGGCTGGAGTTACTATGGCACCATATCCTTCAGGGCACCTGCACTCCCACTTGCCCCATTACCATCCCTCCCCCAGACTGCACCACTTCCCCATTTCCTTCATGGTGAGAGAAGCCTTCAGCACACACATGCATTAGCATAAATGAGAAAGAATCACTTCCTTACAATGTCAGGCTAAGATTAATGGTTCTGGCTTCTTATTTACAACATCGCTTACTTTAAAGGATGGTTTGGTGAAGCAAATGAATAATGCATTTGCAAATAGTTTAGCTCATCATGCATTTCAAATGCAATCTCAACAAATTTAAAGCCCTTTGTTAGACTCTGCAAAAAAGTAGTTTACAATGTTATTACAGGATTTTTTTTTAGTTTTTTTTTTACATCTTCAATAGACAAAATTATCAATCAAATTTTGCTTTAAAGGATTAAAGAGAGTACATACTGTATGAGGACATGGTTCAATGAAAACATTTGATTGTAATCACAGTTAATAAGACCCTGTTTGTTTTATGTTAGTGGGAAAAGAAAGGAGAGAGCAATAGTAGAGGTGGACCAATTACAAAAATGTGTTCTTCAGCGCAAAATTGTGTTAATTGTGTTCAGTAATTGTGAAATTTCCCTCAAACTTCTCTCAGACACAGGTTCTCTCTTCAGCCAAATAACTTAAAAAATGACATTCTTGCTGACTGAAAAGATGTACTAAATGAACATGGGTTCTGGTGCACTTAGAACAAATAACTGACAAATAAAACTTGTGCAATAATAAAACACAAATATTGGCAGTTTATGTTTTTTTGCAGTGATATTATCAAATAAAACAATGCTTGACCTTGAAATGAAATGTCAAATAATTGTCTTTTTAAAGTGATATATTCAGTGAGTATGTGGAAATAACAAAAAGGGCCTTTATAGATATTTTCATGTCATGAGCTAATGGGTCTGTAGGTAAAATGAACAATGAATTTGTTTTACATTGTGAAAAGAAATACACAAATGTATATATATTTTTCTGTTTGATGAAATATTGCACATCAATGTAACTGTTGTTTCCTCAATTTAAATATTTTTTCTAATGTTTCTATCTCCTTTGCAGCACGCTGGCATATCTGACATGCCCTACCCTCACATTAGGTACATTTCATCTAGAATGCCTGGCTTTGGAAGAACATATGAGGTGAGTTATGTTTAATCATTATTCATACATTTAAGCATTACCCTTTGTTATTTACAGGGTCAAAAACACAAAGCAACTGAGCATTATTGTGTAAAAACATAGCCTTGGTTTAGAAAGAAGCATTGTGCAAGTCTAATGGTGTTGTTTTGTAATCTGCTTCCACCAGGACCTACTGCATTTAGAGGAAAGATTAGGGACTGTGAACAGAGGAGCCTCTCAGGGAACCATAGAGAGGTGCACTTACCCACACAAATACAAAAAGGTGAGGATCCATGAGTCTGGAGCTACTGTGTGCCCTGTATTGATGCTGTGTGGGGATTTACGTGTGTAGTTGTGCATGCATGACTGTTACAGCTTATCCTGGGACAGAGTGCATAGTGGTCTTTTGTGCTTCCTTCAAATATCTTATGTTTTCCAGCATTTAGATAAAAACATGTAGTGTCTTGTACCTCAGATTGCAGCTGTGAAGATTTTGCCTGGAAAAGTTTTACGTAGAGTTTTCTAAATGAGCAATCTAACACCCTGCCACCCAATACAGAAGGTGTTGGAGAGAGACATTGGCCAACAGTTAACCCCTGAAGCTTGGGCATCTATTGGGAAAAATATGCACGCAACCCCAGAATCGGTGAGAAATAATGAACAAATCAATTCGGAAACACGTCTCTGCTCACATGTACAGTAAATGTTAGTTTTAGTCATGGGGGCCAGGGAATTGGGCTAATGACTTAAAGTTATAGAGACTGAGTATTTAGAACATTTTCCTGTTTTCAGGACAAAATGACCATTCTCTCTGTCCCCAAAGAAATGTTTCTATGTTTGTGTAGTGATTCATAGAGAATGTTATATTTTTAGAAATGTAATATTTGTATTTTCATCACCACAACAGTATAAGTGTAGAACCTAAATGTTTTAACACAGTTGTTTACATATTATTATCATTATTATTGTCATTGTTTTACTTATGTATGGTGTATATCAATTTTTACATGTCCAAAAATCACTCTCAAACAGAGAAAGCTGCATGAAAAGCAGGAGGAGGACGAGGGAGCAGAGGAAGACACAGAAGAGAAATGCACCATCTGTCTGTCGATACTAGAAGAGGGGGAGGACGTCAGGTAAAAGACTCTCCTCTGGGGCTTTGCTTCATTTGGGGCTCACAGTTCCGAGTGTCTTCAATTAGGTTTTCTCTGTGAGCCTCTAAAACAGACATATGGTTTGGCAGGTGTAGCACTTCCATTTTCTAACATCTCCAGAGATATCTTTTTTATGAACCCAGAGGTATATTAAATAGGCACAAAACCCAAGAGTGCCTCAAAATTACTGATCTCAGGGAATTACATTTTGGCAGACATTCAGGTTTTTTTTACAAGTATTTTTGTGCCCCCTGTTGGCCTCAGAGAAGGTAATGTAAGGTCTGATATTTTTTGTTTTCCAATATTTCTGTATCTATAGGAATAATAGTATTTGTAATTATTGTTCATCTTACGCCTCATGCTCTGAAATCTGTGAAACAATGAATAATTTAATTATACATTTCCTAATTTTTGTTTTTTTTATGTTAACTCAAACTTTTTTGTGTTCTCACTCAGACGTCTACCCTGTATGCACCTCTTCCATCAGCTGTGTGTGGACCAGTGGCTCCTCACCAATAAGAAGTGCCCCATCTGCAGAGTGGACATAGAGGCTCAGCTGTCTGCTGAGAGTTGATGCTGTTTTTCTTAACAACCCTTTTGGTTGAAAGTTTATTTTGGAGATCATATGAATTTTCTCTTCAGTACTACAGTCGACCAAAGATGGCATGAAATACCTGTGCAGCTCCACCAGAAGAGAAAACTAATAAATAAATAAAACCTAAACAAAAAAAAACAAACAAAACAAGACGTTAAAGCATTGAGCCTAGAGTGCCAGTTATCATATATTACTACAACAGCTAGAATTCTCCATTAAGGACTTAAGATTTTATTGTATTTATGAAGCTTTTATGTAGCTTTCGATTGTTTCCTCAAGTGTCATTTATGTTTCTCTGCATGTTTCCTTGCAATGCATTTCTTTGCACATGTAACGTGGGCTTAACACGGCCTAACAATTTGCAGGTGAGAATAGCTGCTCTAGTAAAGATGCATTTCTGTAAACTCAATGCCTTGCTTTACTAGAATAGAATATCAACCTCCAGTTAAAAAAACCACACATTGCAGGATACATTTTTACCAACCATTGTATTGATTAGTTTATGTTTAGAAGATGTGGATTGTTAGTAAAAGATGTTTTTAAGTAAATCAAGACATTCCTAACTAGGGAAATATGTTAACAGATCAGCTGCTGTATTAGTGCACACCCAGTATTTTTAGAGTGGAAATAAAGCCCCCATGTTCACCTCCCTCTTCAAATATGCACATGCTTTGCTATGATTCCACCTCCTTCCGGCACCTTCATTTGACTAAAGCATCATTACCAACGCCGTCATATGTATTTTCGAGAGAAAAGAAGAGGAGCGTCACCTCCTTCTCCTGACTGTTCTTTCTAAACGGAATGTTTGTGGGATTTGCTGTGAATCTTTTCTTTGTTTTGTCAGGGTGTTCTCCCCTGCACACAGGCCTGTTACAGTTGAGGTTTCTGTAAGTCGATCTCAGGTCTGCGTGTGTGTGTGCGCACTTGTGCATACGAGTGTGTGTATGAACTTTTTGCATGAGCCTGTAACCTAGGGTCATTTTCTCAATTTGATACTGGCAGTGGTCTGGACTTCTGCAGATTGTGTTCAGAGGTAAATACACAGCTCGATGTGAGATGGAAGTACACTGATTGTTCTCACTCAAATTTGTTTTATCTCCCCCTATGCCCACTTTTGTCTCTCTGTAGTATGAGCAGCAGAGTCCATTTTGGCTGTTGTGCAGATAAACACTAATACTGTTGACTAACTCACTGGCATAGACTTGCACAAGAGAGAAATGTTTTATGTTTTAAGAACAATAGTTATGAATATGAGAGTGTGCTGAGGCCATGTATTTCCACTCTGCTGAATAGAAGAAAAAAACATATTTTGAATGGAGTGTTGAAATGCAGTACTTAAAGCAGGTATCCATGCATTCATTGACTTAAAGGCACCAGGATCATATTCTGTGGGATTTATATTAGTTTTAAAAAAAATAATAATAAACTTGGAATAACTCAAACATTTTCTTGTTTTTCTTCTCATTTTCGATTCAATACTGTGTTGGTGTGACAGTTATGCTCAAATTCTTAAAAAATGTGTCCTGTATTTAAATGCTACATTATTATCTATCATTTCTTTTTGAAAGTTATTTTAGTTTGAAGGTTCACCGATAATAATTAAATGTACGGACTCTTACTGAATATTTGAGGTCGCACCAATATTTAATGGGATGCAAGTAATCCAGAAAAAGAGACAATAAAAAAAAACTGCAGCAGTGACATCAGGAAGAGACAACTTCTGACCCCTAGCGGGGATATTCTGCATACATGACATACAGAGACAAAAACAGACATCGTAAAGCTATGTGTTTTAGCACCACCTAGCGGTGACGTTCCAGGTTAAATATTCACCATCTCAAAGTACGAGGAAATACGGAAGGTAGCAAATTCAAAACAATATTAGAATACATAAATCAACACGGACCACTCCAGCAAAAACAATCCATATTTAAAAAAAAAAAATCGGTGTAGATTTAAACTCAAGATGTTTTGTAAAAGAGCAAACAAAAAAAACAATTACGAAACAAAAATCCTAGGTGCATGCTTAAACATGAGATGTGAATTCTTATATGCCTCTATATTTTAATAAAATAATCCGTTGCAATTCTTAATTCATATAATAGATAGGTTAACACTATACTGCACAGCCAAAATATTCATAGATCAAGAACAATTAACAACCACGAACAATTAATAATAAAACACAGAAATAGTTACATCGAGGGAAACTGGACGAAGTAGGGTTTTTTAAGACGTTTCACCTCTCATCCAAGACGCTTCTTCAGTTGCCCTCGATGTAATTATTTTCAGATAAAATGACCTGGATGACTGAGAACCTACACAGACAAATAAATCACAAGACATTAACCCAGTCACGGTTTGACCACCAGGTGGAGGTAAAGCACTGTGGTATCCTCCCAACTCTCGTGAGATTTTTGCACAAATATTAACTGTCATAAAAAAACGGTCATATTTGTGTTACTGTACGAATACACCCGCGATGGCGTCTGCTTTTTGGATGGTTAATGTGACAGTTACAAATTGTGTGTAAATAAACGTTATGAAAAATACGTTTTTAACTGTATTTTTTAATTTACATTTTTCATCCAGGTTCACCGTAACGTATTATCTTGACAAGTGACAAATGTTCTGTAATCAATCATATTGTACCTACAGACACATAATACACATATTTCTGGCCGTTGCAGAGTTCTAGATGTTTGACAAAAGGTAAAAGCTATCACTGTCTAATGATTTGCTCTTTTCAGATGCATTTAGACATATACGTACATCAAGGTAACACCACGTAACTACAAATGCACATTTCACCATAGCAACAACAAACAAAACTTTATCGGTAAGAACATGTCGGATAACCTAAAAGTTGAAACAATTTCTAGCCATTAGCTACTTATTGGTCTTTCAGTCTTTTGGTAAACAATTATACTTGTGTTTTCAAGGTAGCAAGCGATAACGGTTGACATAAACATCTTGTTTATGTCAACAAACATCTTGTTTATGTCAGCGTGGCAATAAAAACCTTCAATATTATGTAGAAATGTAGTATAACGAGTCGTTACATCAAAGATAACTAATTTAGCCATTATACTGCCATTACTAAAGCAACGAACCCACATTCAGCCACAGCTGCGACAATGTAATGCTTAACGTAAGGCAATAACAAATTAGAATATTATTAAAAAGACAAAATGCATTTTACTCACACAAACTTCCGACTATTTGTAGACAAAGTCCATCCTGCGCTCTTTACTTAAGAATTTTTCAATCACAATTAGCATGACCACCGTAAAATAAAAGTGAAGTCTGCCATGTCGTATTTATGGCATACGTTCGAATTCTTGGGAACATTCTCAACTGTTCGACTGACTGTTTAACGCGTGCAAGTAGCTAGATGCAGTTTGCTAGATTCAACACAGCGTGTTCGCTGACCATTCATTCAAAGCACTGAAAACGCCAACTTGATTGTACACCTGCTGGAAGGGCCTAATGTCGCCAACTCGAATTCTGATTGGTTAAAGAAATGACAGCTCAAATATAATTGGATAAAAACAAAAAACAAAAAAACAAACAAAAAACCCAATATATAACTAAATATACACAACTGGAAGCGCAGCAACCAAGAGAAAAGCTATGAGCACTGGTACTTTGTACTCGTAGTGAATTAGCTCCCCAGTGTTAACAGCTAACTCACCAATGAAACTACCACTCTAAATAAACAGTGACTTAAGCAGGTGAAGTCGGTGATGCTCTGGGGCAACAATTCCATGTTCATTTCACACACAAATTTTACTTTGGTTTTTAAACGACAGCACAGGCACTTTTGTTAACATTGGATGTTTGACCATCAGTGTATACTCAATGTATTCCACAATGCACACTATCCTAGCAATATATCATGCATTACAGTCGTGACATTGAGGAGAGGGAGGCATAATCCATTTTTCATTTAACCTATTTTTAAATAATCTGCAAAAATCCTGGTCCAGTGAGAATCCTTGATGTCTTCTGCCAATTGTCTTTGCAAAATACTGTACTTGCAATAATAATTCCAACTGTAATTTCACTCAGACTGTGGGAAAATTTGTTTATTTGACATTTTTAATAAAACAACAATAGCAGTTCACTATACAATAATACATGCTTTATTAAAATATCCTGTCTGCTGTTTTTAATTTTTTTTATGTATTGCACAGGGATGTTTGAGAACGTCCCAGATCAAACTATATCTGTACTGATAGAATTTCCAGCAGTTGATTTGAGCTTTACATGGTTGTGTCATAAAATAAAACTTTTAACAGAGGAATGTTTAAGTAATGCAACAGCAGTGCAAAAGATGTGCAGGAACAATTAAAGAGGAGCAAAACAAATTCTGTGCAGTGCCATGGAACCAAAGTTAACAAATCAACCAAAAACAAAATCCAGACAGTCCCTTTTTGTGACATCGGTATGTCGTGAAATGGAGATAAAGCAGTTCTGTGAATATGAAAAGTAGAAACAAAATGGGAAAATTAGATCCTTCATAGAAAAAAAAAACAGAAGAAAATTTTAATTTAACGTCAAACCAAGAACAGGCATTTACCAAACTATGAACACATATACAGAATCAGATCTACAATGCCTGTTTTATTCCATGTAAACAGCTTCTCCTCAGTGACTTTAAAGACACATGTCTAGTAGATTTCGCTCACTCGCTGGCTGTGGCATGAAAATGAGTGACGACGTCTGTGTTCAAGGTAGTACCTGTACTGATAAAGTGCTAATAGACCACAGACAGCACGCTCAGCTTACAGTATTCATCACTTCCACTTAAACTGATGTGGGAGAAACACAATAAGAAAGAAACACACACACACACATGAATTTGATACACCACATGGCCTAGTCTGAGAGTTGTTGAAACAGACTTGTATAAAATGCTTTGCTTCATTAAATCATTAAAACAATCACAGTGTGGTTGCTTGCTGATGGTCCCTCCCGAGAAGTACAGTTCTGCACCGTAATAAATATAAACCTGCTAAAAAACGCAGTCTCTTCATTTCAGACACCGAGACACTAACTGATTCTTCATCCGAGGACCTGTTTTACAAAGATTTTTGACATGAAGAACTAAAACAAAAATCACAGCCTGGTCCCAGATTAAGTATACTTCATTCCAGCGTTTAAAATGTATTGTTAGCTCAGATTTTTTTTAGCACTATATAAAAGAACAGAGAGCTATAAATACAATAAATAGTTTTGTTCACTAATAAGAGGCACTGTAGCAAGAAACAGGCCCTGGTCAAACAGTCTTCTTGTCATTAAAGCAGAGCCTCAACTCAGGTCTTTTGTTCTGTTGGTGTAATTGCTTTACATTCATCCAACTTAAGGCAGAAGTGGAGAAAAACTGAGATCAGCCGACATGAACCATGAACAGTGAGGGATCTTCTTCATAACAGCTGTGAACCTGTGGCTCTTAGATCTTCTTAACATAGTTGTTGGGGAAAAGACCCTGTTTCCCGCGGAGTCGTCCCGTCCACCATCCAGATACATCTGGGTTCAAAACACAAAGAGATTGTTTTCTCATTATGAACCATTTTAAATGTATGTAGTTGTTCTTATAAAATGGTTTTAAAACCAGTACTGTAATACCGTCAAAAGCACCTGCTAGTTAAACAGCATTAAACAGCATAAAACAGTATTTTCATCCACATAGAGCACAAAAAACTGGTGGTTCTCACAGCTCTCACTAGCAAACAGGTGCAGGTGGAAACATAACAATAAAGTTTTTGAAAACAAACAGCATGTGAACAGAATTTACTTCTGACTTTGGTATTCAAACATCTACAGTTCTGATTTGGTCATACCTGTCTCATTCATCATTGTGGTTTACATATAATATGAAACTGTTTAAAATGTTTTAGCTTTTCTCTGTTCAGACTCTACTATGGGACCTAATCTGTCTGATTAATTGTTATATTCAATCTTGGGTTTATTTCATAAATGTATTAAATATGTCTGGTTTGTTGCTACTGAACATATTCTCCACATATTTTGTGTCTGGACATAGAAAAACTGGTGGACTGGTGAACGTCTGCTGGGATTGGCTCCAGGTTCCAACACCTCCCAGAAAAGGATTAGTCATTAAAACATGAATGAATGAATGAATGGATGTAAGAATGAAATGTATTAATAATGTTTTACTCACCCTCCTTAATGATTTCAATGACATCATCAGCATTGAAGCTGAGCTCATCTGTGTCCTGAGCATCATAGGCGTACAGGGCTTTACACTGGGGCACCTGAGGTTTAGGTTTGGGCGCAGGTTTAGGTCGTCCTCCTCCTGGCGCAGGCCTGCTGGCCGAAGGTCTGTGAGCTCTGGTAAGAAGCAACCAGACAGCAATAATCAGTACTGCCTGTCTGTGGTTGAATAAATGTCTCTGTATACTGAATAATAACATTACCATTACCACGATGGTGATGTGATGTATAACAACTGAGGTTTGTCAGAGATGGTAACCTAACTCAGTATATCTTGGTATATTGTTCTATAAAGTAGGTTTGCCAGGCTATGATAAGACATGACAGTTCAGTTCATAGATCAACCAGAGAAGCTATGAGGAGCGAGGGAATTCTTACACAACAATCAAACAATGTCCAGCAAAGGTTTTTTATGCTTTTCTGCCATCTACTGTAAATTCTCTTGAAACGTTGCCGTTTACACACTGGATTATCATGTGTTCCAGGAAGTTTGTGTTAGATAAAGAGCTATAATTAAGACAGGAAACTGCCTAATGTTTTCCAGCAATAAATGGACAATGTCTTAAGGACAACTTAATAAAAAAGTAGAAGAAAATGTAGATTAAATCCCGGCTGCTGACTCTGATGGGAGTAGAACTAAAGTCCTGTTTATGTTGAGTGTGTGTGTGTGTTTTGTAGGTTCTCACCCTGCAGCCCCCAGCTCTGGGACCCTCAGACAGTCGAGGTTGGGCTGGCCTCGGCTGCTGCTTCGCTCCTTGGGCTGGTGGGATTCTGAAGGCAGGAAAGGGCGGGTGGAGTTGTTGGATGATTGATGCCTCGGATTGTGATGCTGTGAATTTCTCTGATTGGCTACATGGTTGGTGTTTTTCAGGACACCATTCTGGTGAGAATCTAAACCAGGGAAAAGAAAAGAAAATACTTCAACGGTCTGTGCAGTGCAATAAATGGTCTGTTCTCTAATGAGCCTGTTCATGACTGTACCTGGAGGTCCTGGTGCAGCGCGTGATGGGATGTGATGGTGGTTTCTGGAGCCGTTGGAGCGACTCTGAGTGTAGGACTTCCTGGTGGGGCCTGAGGGTGAGGATATGTATTTTTTAGAAATTAGAAATCATGGTTAAATCATTAAAGATGGTTAATCATTGTGTTTGTTAGTGCACAACAACACCGACTACCTCACTGTTGTATTAGTACCTCTATAAAGGCAGCTTGGTTAGTCTGCTCTGGAGCACTTCAGTAGCTTGGCTTTAACATTTCAACACTTGAATGTCTGAGCTTTTAATTAATCTTTTTGGTGTTTTATGAGTTCACATTACCAGGTCAAATTAGTTCCCACATTTTACCAGCTCACTGTCAGAGCTCAGCGTGTCTATAACACTTACGTGTGTTCTTGGGGAGTCCAGGGCCGATGCTGACCTGCAGGGATTTGCTGGACGGCTTCAGCACAGGCATGTCTCCCTGACCCTGGACAAACACAACCTGCCGAGAGCCGCCGCCGCTGAGGAAACCCCAGTTCTCTTTTTTCAGTTTCATCTCCAGTCTAGAAATGTCACAGCACAATCAAAGTTTTGTTCAGTAGAATTATAACCACTTAGAAATCATTGTCACATGAGGCAAATACAGTTTAATCATTGTGAGACAAACAGGACTTTTAGACAGAAATAAGCAGAATTGTACAGATAAACTATTTTAATATTCAAATAACCGTACTTTAACATATGTATTAGGTCATCAGAGCTACTGTATACTTGAGGAAGATCTTTCAGGATAGACTGAGGTTTGTAGTTAATGTGGCAGTGTTGCTCTGAGGACAGATATACTGTCTGAGAGTCTGATTAACTGAGATTTGTGAAAGTTCTTGCTATAGGAATCAAAAACAAGGTGAGGTAAATTCTGAGAAAAAGTAAAATTACAGTAGTAGTAGTAGTAGTAGTAGAAGTACCACGATTTTTTTAAGAATCAAGGAACTGCCCTTACCCTAATTTGTTGGTAGTTCATTGTGTTCAACTCAAATAGTTCTTATAGGTCTTTGTGTTTACTTACGTATTATTAAACTTGAGTGGTAGCTTTCTCTGAGTTTTTTCCTCAAACCTTCGGGCCAGTAAACTGATGAACTCTGTCTTGAAGACACAGTCCAGCAGACTGTCGTACTCCTGCTCATGTAAGATCATGAAGTCATCCTGCATTGTACTGGGAAAACCAAGAGAAGAGAGCGTTAGAAAGAAGACATCTGCTGGGATGTTTTTTTCTACTTTTTTCCTCCACTTTGATGAACATCAAAGATGGAGGCTGAGAATCATCTTTCACATTTGCATGGACACAGAGGAAGCCTCACAAAGCAGCTGACATCTGAAGAGAGGAGACGGCTTGTGCCCATAATCCACACAAGGATACTTTGTTCCTTCTGGCGAAGTGGATTTTTTTTTTCCTGATGACTTTTACAACTCCTGCTTTCTTTCACTGCACCACCTGGTCTGTATTAGCCCGGTGACTGCACCAGCAGCTCTGTGACTTCTGCCGCTGAGACATGTTCGACAGTGAGTTTTCCCATCGACAACAAAGGCGCTGCTCCTCACTCAGCTGCTTTTATTTGTCTGTAAACTAGTCCACATTCTTTCATGAGCATTTATGGCTGTGTATAACTTCAGTCACATTGCTGAGCTGTGGAACAAACAGCTTTCAGATACACAGAGCAGCATGCACACACACACAGACGCATGATATATACAGGAGGTGCTTCAAAGACACTCCACATGTACGGGGAATGTGCGTGATGAATAATCCAGATTGCCACTCTTTAAAGCAGATTGATGACTCTACTGTTGGGTAGTTTTGTACAGAACATTCCACGGCTCCCTGCATCACAATACTTTTCACTGCGCGCTGAAATGCAGTTGTGTTATTTGGAATCTCCTGGACCCTCATGTAAGGGAGTGTCATCTAATGAACATCAGTCCTTTTAATTAAGTGACATAAATAAAGATCATCCACCTCTATGCACAAAAAGATAAAAAGATATTGTAAATACTTTCTATGATTTTCCATCTTCCCTCTCTGTTGGTGGTCCGTGTCTGTACCATCGTTTGAGATAGCATTTTTACGAGCTTAAATGAGAATCTTAAATACCTTTTACCACAATGCAGCAACTTAAGACCTCAGTTTAATGCAGTCGCTCCCTAAGTGGTGGTGTGTACCCCATAGGGGGCGCCAGGCTACAGCAGGGAGTGCAAATGAATATCAGTTTCAATATTTTGCCACATTGGGGAAAATCACACCAACGTGTAGTGTTCCTCCCTACATCCAGTGACAACAGTGGGTTCGTAAGAATAACAGGGTTCTAAATAAGGTTCAGTGGAGATTCACAGCAGTAGCCATTGTATTGTTGTGGGAGTTAAAAAGCAGTGATCATGTCATGAAAGATCATACTTTTCATTTATGCAAACATTCTCCCTCAGACACATTGACACTGTTTTACATGTGTGGCTGAATTTTCTTACTGGGATCCGTTGGTATCAGTAACTGTAGTTTCCTCTGATTTTATGATAAAAATTTGCGAGGAAGGTAATTTACCTGAGAGAAACAGCCAGGATCTTCTCCACATCAATCTTCCTCTTCAGAACCTCCGTCACCTGGCCTTTCTCTGGTCCCTGTTTCACCTTTTCCCGTCCAATCAGATACACGGCTTTTGGAGAAAGAATCAAGTCTCTCTTTATTCCCTAGATATGAAAAAACAAACAAAATGGTTTCATTAATAGATTGAGATCTCTTGATTTTGTGCAGATTATTCTGAAGAAAGCCAACCTTGAACCGTCTGTCATATTTTGTGACTGTGTCAGCAAAGTCAATCTTTTCCCTCTTCCCCAGGAACTGTCGAAGCTCTGGCCTGTCTTCCATGCCCAGATAATCTCCCACAAAGTTCCTGTTGAGGCTGTGTCGTCTTCTCTCCTTACGATTCAGAAGCAGGTCAGAAGCTGGAATGAAAGAAGACAAAACACAAAGAAGTGAGTGAGGAGGAGACCCAGTCTATGAGATGGGAACAGGATGAAACAGTCAACTTAAGCTGCACGTTTATTCAACCCTTACCTTCCTCCCTCATTTGGACGTACTTCTTGCGAGCCACATATTTCCTCCAGGCTTTTTGGATTGTCCGGGCATAGCCGTCAAACTTGCGCTCCCTGGTCTCCTCCAACAAGAAAAGCTTTGAAGACAAAGAGATGGACAGAGTTCAGCAAACAAACCCAAACACAGATGGAACTAAATGGACTGACTGGAAGGAAGGATGTTCAGTACATAAAAACTATGCTTTACATTTTAGTGAGCTGTCTGACGGTTACGAGTGAGACAAATGACCATTTTAGATTTTCATTCTCTGGCTCCGAAGACACCGTTTCCGGTTGAGGACCACCAGTCTCCTCAACTCTTTATGTCATTTCCTGACAGAACTTGAGATGTGCAATCACACTCTCTGGCTTCTCTGTCCCAGACTAAACATCCTGCACATTCACTCGCTGCATCCACACAGCTACAGCCACAGGCCACACGGAGGACCATGAAGCAACATGACCGACTGTACTGTAAATACTTGGAGAGCTGAGAGAAGGAAAGAAGGAAACCTAGTGAGTCACTGATTGTGACAGAGAAACCACCGAAGCCTGAGGCTGATGTGTTTCTTTTAGGTCAGAAGAACTCAAAAACAGACAGCAGGAGAGCTTAAGGTTTACATTAGGTAGTAATGACTATGCCTTAACTCACTGAGGGAAATATTTAACATTTCTAAATACACAAAGGTCCAACTGTTCAAATGATTGAATTACACACTGGGATTCCCCGTTATTTTCATTATAAATGAAATGACAGGGAATTTATTAAATTATGGTAGAAATCATATGATTGAGTTGAATATTTTTTCACTTAATAAAAACATCATGACTAAAATAGACAATAAGAGAGGGTAAAATGATTTGGAAAAAAAGAAGAATACTTGACAAAAAAACAAATTTAACCACAATTTCTGGACAACTTTGGCACTAAATGAAATTTTTAAAATGCTTCAATTTATTATTTTTCGATAAATTTACTCATAGCTTTTTAGCCATCTATGGGCTAACCTTCAGCTCCTTTGTTATTTTTTGGCAAACTGTAAGCTAGTTCAGTTGTAGTTTGATGTGTAATTGGCATTTAGAATTCATTTTCATTTCTATTTTAACTATACATCAGTCTGAAGTTATTTCCACTGTATGAACCTTCCACATGAAGGAAACGTCTCCAATGTCTGAGACAACCATGAGCCAGCAGCTTATCCATCAGCACTCGAAGAGAGAGCGTCCTCTCCAACATCTGGACGAGTGTTAAACTAACTCACTCCGTCCAACAAAAGACTTGAGTCATAAAAACTAATTAACAGGTGTCTCTATCTAACGAGACACAGAGCCTTGTTTGGAGAAGACTGGCAGCTCATTTCAACACTGCGCTCTCTGTAATATTTGCCTTTCATTAACGCACTTTTTGGATTTGGACTCTTGGTTTGGCCGTGTGGGGGATGGGGTGAGTTTGTGGCCAGTGTTGAATAAACGAAGTCATTCAGGATCAGCTGTGACGCCTTATTTCACACACATAGATGCGTCTGTATAAGCCCCTAAACATACATCTGTGTGTGAACATGTGCACTGACTATGATGTGTGCAAATGTCAATAAGTGAGGGCACAGACGTCACACAAGCGTCGCTTTCATTGGAATCTCAAAAAAAAAAAAATTATACTGGTGGAAAAAGACCAGCCTTTACGATGCCTCCACCATCACCACCACCACCACCACAACCTACACCCTCAGGCTGCAGCCACAGTCTGGGCCTGTGTTTTAGCTCCAGAGCTGTGTTGACTCAGTGCTTACGTGGTACCAGGATTGATTGAACTTGATCTGGGACATTGGTGTCCTTTTATGGTGCAGTAGTGTGAACAGGGGGCTTCAGTTTTCATTCTGCTAACAAACAGTGTTGTGACATGCTCAGTTTGACTTCCATTCAAGACAAACGTGGAAGAATTGGCCTGTCTTTTTCTTTTCCCTCTGCGGTACTCTTTTCTGGACCACAGTCTGATCATTTTGTCCAATGAAAGAGAAGCAGACAAAAAGACATCGACACAGCATAAACATGTTGGCTGATAAATGCAACGTACCGACTCAGGGGCTTTGACAAAGATTTTAGTGCGACCCAGCTGGAACTGGTCCTGATCCATGTTCACGGACCGCAGGAGGTGAAGGACGCCTTGTTTCTCATCTCCTCGCCACGTTGGCCAGGTCTCTTTGGTCAGGATGGCATACCTGAGACGACATTTAATTCACAATGAGATTTTTATATGAAGAGTGGTGTCACTGACAAAACCTTTTATATGTATAACTGTAAATGGTAGACGTTAATAAATATGAGACTTCTTAAAGAAAAATTCAGAAGTAAAATTCCAATTAAAATCTGGTAAAATGAACAAAGATGATAATGATTTAAGTGTCCTACACACCCTGGCCTGCTGCTAAAGAGTGATGCTGCCGTACTGGAACATGCTGTGAGTGTGTCTGTGTGTGTGAGTCTCACCTGTTGAGGAACTTCCTGAAGACTCTACGGTAGGCGTAGCCAGCTCGCCTCACCCTGATGTTTTCCTTCAGACCAAGATACTCCACTTGGTGTTTCACTCTGAGGAACAACAAGGATAAAAGTTTACATAATATCTGTTATGTAGATCATTGACAGGAAATGAATATGGATAAAGAACAAACAACCTCAGCCTGTATCTACTTTAACCCTGTTTCCAAATCATTCTGTAATGATAGTTTATGACCTTGATTATTATATCTTCTTGTTTATTATATTAGTCTGTGATATTTTTGAATGAATAGAATGAAAAATTGTCACCAGAACCAGCTGAAGCTCACTGGACAGACCTCCTCACCCTCCGAACTCCAAACTCAGCCAATTCTTACAACAATTAGAACTTCCCCCTCATTAGCAGAAGAAGTTGTGGCTTTAATCATTGTATGCTAAACAGATGAACAATTCAAACTTTTTCCAAACGCAGGTCCAAAGTAGAGCTGAGTGCATTCAGGCTTCCTGTAAAAACTGGTCCAGCTGGTTCAATGTTAATTAAGCAGCCACTCTCTGTCTGACTCACACAGGAAGGTCACAGACCCCTAACAATACAACTGCACTCTGCACTGGACACGCAGTAGCACACAGGCTGTGGGCTGGGAAGAAATGGAAAAACAACAAGGAATGGAACAATGGAAGTAGGATAAAGGTGTGTGGGATTTTTTTACTATTTCTTAGGACAAGTAAAAAACAATAATAGACAAACACTGGTACAATAGTGCACAGCTGAAAAAAAAACAACTGGCATTTTGATGCTTTACAAAGATGGTCGTTCTGCACTTTTTATATGTAAATAACAGATGTTTGTTATGTAATATGCCAATTTCAGACTGAGAACTATTCATAATGTGTGCCGCTCCCCCCAAAAAACATACAATTCCTATTAGGAATGCTATATTTGAGCCAACTAACTATAGTGCTGCAGCCATCCCCAGGATGTTGACTTTAGGTCTCTGATGTCTGCAAAATAGATGTAATAATATATAAATGAATCCTTTTTTAGATCAAGCAACTGATCGTGCCACACTTCCTGAAGCATGTTTAAATAAAGAGCTTCCTTTATGGTTGGATTCATTAAATAGACCAATCAGTTTTCTGTGTTGACGACTTTGGTTCTGTCCTGTCCTGTCCTGTCCTGTCCTGCACTGAATCATTCAGTTCATCAGGCCCAGGAGCGTGGTGGAGAGTGGTCCAGAAAAGGAAATACAATACACACATCTGCTCAGATTACAACAGCATATACTCTTCGTTAATGAAGACAAAATGAATGATCACTGTGTTAACTAAAGTGATTCTTATCACTGGTCATAGTGGGTTAAACAATTGTAAACAGGCAGGCTGGGATGCCTAGTGTTTTTAACCACGGTGGAACCAAATTGGCGACACACATGCAGAGGTTTTATAGACACATGCTGTGGATACTTGTCAGAAAAGCCTTTGTATTCTTGGCCTGACTTGTTTATTTTTGATTTAGCTTTTTCAAGTTGAATTCATCATGTACATGTGTGAGCCACACAGTGAATCAGTCACTCACCGACTCTCCTCCCAGTCTCTGGGCTTCTTGGTTTCATTAGGTTTGATGCAGCGGATGTAGTGCGGCGTACATTTCATCAACGTGCTCACCAAGTCATTGGCTTGTTTCTAAAAAGGAATTATGAAAGCAAACATCACAAACAGGAAGAAGTGACAAACTGTGACGATACCCGATGACAAAGTCATGAAGTGATAACATGCTGTGAATGAATTAGTGGCACGGTTCCTGAGGAAAACACAAGTGTTCAGTTGTGTTTTCCTCAGTGCACACACACATGCCCACACACAGACACATTTTGTCATCAAATACTGCAGTGTCCCTGATAAGACAAAGGTAGGTGCACACCCAGACAGACACACAGATGAGCAAACTTTACTCTACAAACACCTTTATTTTGCTGCCTGCAGTAGTGGGTCGGCCCTTCTTCTCAGCATTGAGGTTCTCTGGAAACAGTGTTCTGATGAAGGCTCTGTCAGGAGGAGGGACACAGAGAATGTGGTATCAATAACAGAATATTTCAAAGACACAAGGCTGAGGTCATTTGTTTGAATTCCTGGGCCTCTTGAGAAGTTCTGTGTTTACACACGGTGGGAAAACAACAGCACAAGGAAGAAAAAGAAGTGAGAGAGCAAAACAGTGCAACTGTGCACAAGGTCGACCCAAGGACAAATCTTCCATAAAGACGATGCACTGCTAACTGAAACTGGCTGTTACGAGCTATGAAAATATGTCACATTTACACAGACCTTACAGCAGTATCATGGACATAGCAAGAGTTTGGCTAAAGGCTGATCCTGCCTGGATACACGAACACTAGGTTCAACTGTTGTTTAATAGTAATTAACTACTTAATTACAGTAACTACTTCATGATGCACGGCACTTAGAAGGATAAATAAAGATATTTTGAGCACATTAGACCCAAAACTTTGCCCTAAATTCTGCACCCACAGGACAACTTTCATATTTGTGTGCACCAAAAACACAATGCATTGAAAACAACAGAAGTTCGCTTTTCATCTGCATCCCTGCAAGACATCGATGACAATCCATAGATGAGGTTTTAGTCAAAATGATAGAAAACCACATGTAAATACATACAAACATGTAGATACAACAAGTTTGTCAAAAACATATCATATCAAAGAATGAAGACCAATGAATGATTTACATATTTATTCCTTCTCTGTTTTACTAACATTAAATTTCACATGCGTCAGCAGCACATCTGTCATTCCACTATCTGGAAACTGACACAGCTGTGTCTGCTTTAAAAAGTGCCATAAAACTGTGGTGACAGTCGGCGCTGCTGTGAAGCTGACACACACACTCTTCCCAAACACTCACCTCATTTCAACTTTCAGGTGTTTGTTATTTGATGTCTCTGAGGGGGGTTCAATATGTCAATAACTTTCAACTCTGCTTTTATCACTGTATCTCACTATGGTATTTGTTTGATTTTTAAATGTCAGGCGGAGCGCCATGGACGCAGAAGAAAGGATCAGCAGGTTGTGTGTACAAACAGAGAGCTTCTTATTTGTCCAGCTGACTGGACATTTCTTTCTTCTCTCATCCGACCTGCTGCGCAAAGGAATGGAGTTGTTCCCTTCCTACTTCCTTTATTACGATGGAGCCAAACTTTTTATTGTGTATGTTTGAGTATAAGTAAAGTTCGTGTGTGTCTTCCAGCACGTGTCTGGAGGGGGGGGGGTTGTCAGAAGCCCCTGTTTTATGCTGCACAAAGGGTACAAGCCATGGCCGTGTCTGCAGGAGTTCAACAGACAATGCAAGCTGTTAGCACAGATGGCCCCCCAGACACAAAGAAACCACAAGAACCCACAACACAGGAGACCACATCCCCACATCATGCACCTCCGAGGCCACACTGAGGCAGTTGTGATTCAGGGCAGAGGGCACAACCAAACCCAGCCCACTCCGGCTCTGCACGCTCCTGCTCTTCTCCCCCTCAGTTTTTCAGATACACTGAAACATCTGATGCTTTCAATTATACACATATGCATCACAATAGGAGAGTGGCTTTTGAGTACGTGCTATAGAAATCCTCACCACCTGTTGGTGCAATGTGCAATGCAGAGAAAAACCTTACATTTCACTGCTCTGCATCAGCTCAATGAGGTCAGTAAAAAGAACGTCTCGGTTCCTCTCGCAGAAGCCCTCAGCGTCATAGGACACCTGGAGAACAAAGACACACACATGCTGTAAATCAATTTCCACAATCACGAAAATGACTAATTGAATCATTTGGAACACAGTGTTTTGAGAAATTAGGGGTTGACATATTTTGTAAAACAAAGCCAAAGTGGTTTGAGAGTTGTATGAGTTATTTCTGTTACACAATCGTCTCAGACTGGAGGAATGTTTTAAGCCCCGTCATGGGAGCCCCCTCCAGTCTTAATGGTATGGCTCATTAGGCCTGTGGCACGTGTGCCCAGCACTGGCCACCACACATCTGGAGACTGACACCGGACAACCAACAGGCCCAGAGCAAGGGGGAAAAAGGGCAAAACAAAGACGGCCACTGAATGGTAACACAGAAATTAAAAAAAAAAAGCTGCTCAACAGCCGTGTGACGTCGTGAGACACATTTGGAGTCTAAACCATAAATGGTGTCAGCAGACAGAGGTGGGAGGGGCAGCAGCTGGGTTAGAGGTGGAGGATTTAAAAATACAAACATGACGACACAAACGCAGCAGGATTAAAGAGCGAAGTGGCACAAGTGGTATTTTTGACAGGTCAGACTAGAAGGGTGTGACTGGAACAGCTCCTGTACCAACACCATAAAAAATTACGTGTTTAATTGCTTCTATATCCAGACATTTTAAAGCGCCTGCTGCAGAGTAAGGGCCAGCGGTGGTTTGCATAAGTCTTGAGGCACCACAGGTCTTTTATACTTTTTACCAGAAAATGCAACAACGCAGACTGTGCTACTGCCTCTCACTCTACATAAACAAAATCTACACAAATGAGCTTGAGAGCATTAAAATAGAACTTTGATGAAAAAAACATTCAGTGTTGGTTATTTTTCAAATTCTCTTCAAAGAACAAATCCTGACGCAACTGCCGCACTAACAATACTAATTTGAGCAAACAATGGTCAAACATCAGAATGTGCTGCCGACTCAGCGGAATTAAACTGACTTTGCCAGCATAATGGTGGATGATGAAGCCCTGGTTCCAGCTGTTAAAGTGTTCATGTGTGTTGATCCCGACTCTCAGCTTCTGCAGCATGGTCTGATCCGCTCCTTCACCGACTGCATGCATGGTGGCACAGACGTCATCCAGAATGCACATGACACCTGGAGGATTCTGGCAGAACAAAAAGGCAAAATTATTCAATGAGAATATGAAAAGACAAAACAACATACAGTATATTTAGATTACATATGTTAGGCTTTTACAGTTTGATTTCAGGTTTAAAATGCAAATGCTGCTAAAATGACCTAGGACAAGATTAAATTAGGCAGTAGATGTTTGACATATAACTTCATTTGTCCACCAGGGCAGACATATACAACATAAAGAAGCTACAAGCAGCAATATTTGCCTTAGAAAGTAAACAGAAGCCCCAAATATTAGCAGTTAGCCCCTTTGTCACCAAACTGCCGATCACTTCTGTAACTATTCTGTGTGTACATGAGAATCTGGTGGTTCACTCATTTTGACCGGTGCTTTAGCAGTCAAACACTCACACACTCGATCTCCAAATGTCACATAAAGTATAACATGTAGTATCTGTTGTTTACAAAATACTGTTATTAAAGTTTTCGCATTTACTTTGCTCTCTATGAGATCGCAGACAATCTTGTTGTTGAAGTACTCGATCGGAGTCCACTTGATTCCTTCCTGCACATATTCCTCCTACGAAGAGGATGAAGAGTTCAAGTATTAATGAAATCCTATTCAATATAATTGAGTGAAATGAACAATAAAGACTAGTGTGAGGCAGCATTACCTGCTCCGCCTTGAGAGTCAGCTCTATAAAGATCTGTTGGAGCTTCTCATTCACAAAGTTGATGCAGAACTGTTCAAATCCATTTTTCTGGTGTAGAGTAAAAAAAACCCACAGGAATTAAAATGCAAATATCCTGAGTCAGTTCACAACGGACATCCTGTGAAACCAGGGAGCATTGTTGGAAGTGGAAGCTGAACACAGACTGGCTCATTTAAGGAAAGGCCGTACTGTGTGACTCACAGCACATACAATAGACATCAGGGCTTGAAAAACAGTACTGTGTATCTTCCGGCCTAATAATCATGGTACAGAATGTAGTTAATTTTTAATATGCAGTACTATTTAAAAGGTTTAGGTGGCTGAACTTGTTCACTATACAGTAACTCCCACCTTTGTAGATTATTTCTTCTTTAAGGTTTCAAAGCACAGAAAACCAGAAGCTAATTCTCAACAACAATAACCTTTATTTTCCCCTAATGAAAAGAAAACATCCGTGCAGCTGTGCCTCACTCGGAGGGGCAGTTCAACCATTGTACGGGTGATCCCACTTGTGATACCTTACAGGGAACAGGCTTGAAAACCTTTGGCTCCAAACTTTGACTTTACACTCTTACATCAACTCCTTAGATACAAACGACCGTAGTTTGAATCGGTTTTGTTGAAATGTGCTGCTTACACACGGGTACAGATGGAACTGGGTGTTTGCTGTGAGAGGTGATAAGACCGGCAGCTCTGTTAATCATTTACCTGCTCCTACTTCAACTTAAACAGACATCTAATCATCTTAGACCAGCATGTCAAAGTCTGCTGTCTCAATCTGGGGAGACTTAATCCAAACGTCTTATGAATCAGCTTTATCCTTTCAGTTCGATCTGTTTAAATACTCAAAGTCAGAGCCCTCTGATCTAAAGGATGTTTCCCCCGAGTAAAACTGTCAGCCAAAAACAGGATAAAAAAAAAAAAACTCACCTGGAAAATTTCAAATCCATAAATGTCCAACACACCGACGTTTAATTCCTGTTGGTCTTTCACCACGGCTTTGTTGATAGACTGTAATTCAAAGATTTCAGATGTCACTGAAGCTGATTGATTTAGGGAAGTGACTCTGTTTCACATGTACGAAGGTGAACAGTCGTACCTCCACCAAGAAGTCAAACACTCGTGCATGCAAGGCTTTCGAGAGAGCATCACGAGTGTAACACGCCTGCTCCACATTCAGTGTCACGTCTATGGACTCTAACGTTTTTCCCCACTTGCTGTCCATCTTCCTGCTGGTCAGTTTCTCCTTCAGACGGTTCTGATCGATTCCAAGCAGAAATGCAGGAAAAGCTAGGACTAGAAAAAAACAAACAGAGGAGACAGGAGAACAGAGATGTTCAAATATTTACTAACTGAGACTGTCGGACTTAATTGCATTCAAATTATTTTGTCAAATAATATAATAATTTTCCTTACAAATGACCCGACATTTAATCAAGCGTATGTGTTTATCTCTCTCTTTTACTTCAATGTGTTTTCAGTGGAAATGTTTACCAATGACAGTTCATCAAATAGTCTGCAGTAATACATCTAGAAGTCCGTAACAACAACAGGTGTTTTGTTTATAATTAACTTCTGTGTTTTGTAACTGTGTTGGTTTCTGGAGAGTTAATCCAGGTGAATAAGCCTATTTTCTTATTTAGAATCTTGAAGCGAGTCTTCAACTAAACCAATCCCTGTGAGTTTGTGTTTAAGGACTGTGGGAAAATAATCCTTGTTGAGGCACCATTTTATAGTGACATGAGCACAGACGGTAACTTCCAGACATTTACAGCAACATTATAAAACCTGGGCAGTTCATTCATAATAAATATCCTGTTTTCTCTTTATTTATTTTGGTGCGGTTTATTGGACTTTTGCTTTAAAATAACAACAGTGCAGATGGTCACTAATAAGTACTACGCTGCAAAAGTAAGAAGCTACATATTCATTAAAATATGAAGCTTGTCTAACATTCAATTTCAATATTCATTAAACAGGCCTCAGGGTAAACATAGAACTTGCACTAAATCTATTTTAAGCTCTGCACATAACTGTGGCTGGGACTCTAAAAGTAAATCATTCCTTGAAGAAAAAGCACCTTTTATGAGCTCATATTACACCTGAACACAACACAGAGGAAAAGTAATTCCTCTGTGTAATTGGCCAACTCTTAAAATAAAAAAGTGCTGAGCGTACCACAGACCTTTTACGCTAACCTGGCGTTGATACCGTCCCCTGAGAGTCCCTCCCTGCCTTATTACTGTGACTCACTTCCCCTAAAAGGAAATAGCTCCCAGGCCTGCAGCCTCACTGTGTCTGGGAATGCATCGCAGCACTGCAGTAGCCCTCTCTGCAGACGTAAGGGTAGGATGGACCTTACGCTGCTGAAGTCATGAGAGAGAGAGCTGTTGATNNAGCAGGAAAGCTCTGGATTACAAACTGCCGTTGAGGCTTTTCTACTGTTTGCGTTCGGTAACTTTCAGAGAGCCCAGTAATGTTGGGTATCACAAAAAGCTCACTTTAAAGTACTTCCAAGCCAATGACATATTAACTCTGACACAGGACACAAAATGTGCAAAATGATTGGCCATAAAACCCGCAATACGTGTGCTGATCAGCCAGCCGCCGGTCGATCGGTACACCTCTAATACAATACTAACACTGCAGCAAAGACCAGACCTGATTTCTTAACTCTCTCGTACACCTTCGACAGCATTCCGTTTAATGATCTACGGTATTTGTTTTTATGACTCCAGTAAACCAAGAAGTTAGAGAATTCACGTTATCAAATACTTTGTGTTTTTACTGCAACTGTCTTCTGTCATTTTTTCTAGGTCTAGGTATAATCTTTATTATATTGTATGTATTAAAGATGGCCTCTCTAACAGACTCTAAGACTCCATGATTATAATCTCATACCTAATTTAGTGCCTTATCTTAGCTCAGGTTAATACAGGGTTGTGTTTCTGTGAATGACTCACGGACGACTCCAGTCTACTCACACTCTTCACTCTCTACAGCAGCGTAATTGCCTGATTCCTTGAACGTGATATTTCCCAGATGCAGGATTCCAGCTACAATCTGTAGCACCATGGATCGATTCTGAGCCGAGATGCCGATCACATCCATGGCATGCTGGCAAAGCAGAGGAGAGGAGGTTAAAACCAGAGCCACACAGTTGGTGCTGCTGTACTCATGGATGGATCTGACCATACCGTCGTCTCCTGGAAGTCACTCTTGTCATTGATGTCGTCCACCTTGTAAGAACCAGACTGGTTGAGGTAAGTGTAGTAATCAAGACTCGTAATTCCCAGGCTACTCTTCTGCTCTCCACCGGCTCCTTCTATTAACTGCACAGTAGAAATGTAGGATACATGAACATAAAGTCACACACAGATGCTACTGTATTATCATATTGATGTACTTTGACATCGACATCGAGAGCCTGTGCTACGACAAAAGTGAACACTTCTGGTTATAAACAAATTCAGAACATGGACAATGAAAACAGATTCACCCTCAGCCTGAGGCCAAATACAATCTCTTTTCCAAGTGTCCTCAAATCCCCTGCTCACAGACCCTCTGCACAGACCAAAGCGTTTCACTGTTATTACTTTGAAAATCACCTGATAGAATATATGGAAACTTCTTTCTCCAGGATTCCTCATGACAACACGCGATTTCTCCAGAAGGAAGTTGGAGATTTTCCCTCCATCTGGTTCTCCACCGGAGCTGAACTGGATCTCAAAGTATTTCCCCTGATGGATCAAAGTATATTTTTTTTACTACTGAACTGGGCTGCAATGGAGTATGAAGCCATAGCTATAAGACAAAATCTGGCATGAGGAGTGATAATATCTGGCACCTGGTTGTTCTGAATAATAACCCCCAGCCCTCCAGCTGCAGCATCGTTGTATTTTCTGCATGCTGGCATTGATGGGACTGTTAAGTCAGCAGCAACACCATCAAAGTTTTCAAACTCTCTACTCATTTGTGTTTGATGAGAAACATATCCGCAGCTTTTATCTTTGAGTTGTTTGCTCTCCACACCAAACTTACTACAGGAAACATGACTGGTTTGATGATCTGTGAGTAGATCTGCAGTAGGCCAAGCATGGTCCCAGTTGACTTGTGGGACTGAGTCAACAGCCAATAAATAAATAATAAAGCATAAAGAACTGTTAAACATCTAACTATTTTTTACAATCTATGCAATAGAACTGTTGACTTGTCAACTATTGTCTTAATATGTCTGATCTTGTGTTTTCTTTAGACTAGGACTTTATCTGTTCCAAATGCAACCAAAAGCCCATCTGAAGAGAATCCTTTTTCGGGTAAAGCAATTTACAATCTAAAAATATTATTCAATAAACAAACTATTTCTCTCAGGAACAATAGAACAATTGTGCTTTGTGTACAAGAGGGAAAAAAAGCCAGAAGAAAAACACACGAGTTTTTAAAAACTGTTTTTTCTTGTTGACCAGAGTTCTTCATGACCAGTGAAGTTGTGTGTCACTGGTTTCTGCACGTACGCGTTTCTGTGCATTGTGTCCTCACAGCACAGTTCTGGTTAACCAATGAGGTTTGCTTCCTCGTGCCCAAGCTCAAACAAAAGGAAATGTTTCCTTTATTTAGATGCAAAAATGTATAAAATAAAAATGTGTCTTTTTGATCTTGACAAATGAATCTACATTTAAGAAAATCAGTTGATTCTCAGCGTCAGGTCACTGTGTTACACACAGAATCAAATACTTACAAATCTGCTGGAGTTGTTGTTCCTCAACGTCTTGGCGTTGCCAAAGGCCTCAAGCAACGGGTTGGACTGCAGAATGATGTCTTTGACGTGCTGGGAGACAGATGCAATGAGCTGTTAGTTACGTCACAGGCCGACAGACGCAGACGCAGCAATAAGTGTTCACACTCTCACAGACAGATGCTGATGTGCAGGTCTCTGGAACTTTCCACCCAAATATGAGCACATGTGTGGACAAGGATACACACACACACACAGACACACACACACACACACACACACACAGACTCACTCACTCACACAAAATAACCCACATCTGCAGACAGACAAAATCTGGAGGACATTATCTTATCTGTAAGGAACATATGAGCGGTAAATCCAGACAGAGCTACTGCCACTTCTATTTCTGAAAATAGACACCCAATAAAAAGCTCTTTCTTGGAATTTACATTTTATGGAAACCCTTAGTTTCCCACTTCCCTTATCGGCAAAAAAAAGCATCTCCTAAAATTAGCCCAGTTCCTACCCAGGTAAATTGTATTAATCCAAGATAAAATCAACAGCTAGCTTGTTGCCCAAAATCAACAGACCAAAATTGGTAAAAAAAAACAGAGGTTTATTGTTCTGAACACTGTACTATTTAAAATGTATGTACGTTGCCAGTGAAGATTTGGAAAGATAAAAGAGGAAGTAGACAAATGCGCAACAAGGAGGCAGAGTCAGATATTTCCTATCTATTTTTTGTTTTTAAAACAGCTATGGAAATAACTTACTGTCAAAGTTCCTATTCCCAAAACAGAACCGTGGCAGTTTGACTAGGGCTTTAACAAGTGATCAAAAAGGCTGCTATCAAAATCACCAACTTGTAGCGGTGAGTGAGTCAAATGTAGAAACCAGTGTGTCATCATGTTACAGGGATTTTCTGATCAATTTCTAAATCTTTATCAACCCTGGGGACCAGACCTCAGCTGGTTTTAGGGACAACAGATGGTTGAGGGGAACTGCGTGAGTAAGAGGCTTGTAATGGTCTGATTAACTGGAATAAGTAGGAAAGAATTTAAGGAATTAGAAGGGGAAGAGTTTTAGGACTCATCCTAAAACCAAATCCAACATATTTATACACGTGTATTTTATGGGAGGAAATGTGTGCAGCATGACTTTGCTTCAAGTATTTGACTCCAGAAAGAAACCATCGTGTAACCGAAAGCAGCCAGACTCACCTGTACTTTGGACCCGCCACCTGACACTCTGGAGATGTAGCTCATGATATATTTGGCCGCCACAGTCTTTCCTGCTCCACTCTCCCCACTGGAAAACAAACAAAATATATAAATATAAACATACAAATAAATCTCTAACCATTACATTTCAGAACAGTAAAATGACCATCTGTTTATTATTATCTCTAAGGTCAGATTTAGTTAATGAAAGTTCACATTTTGATACAGCCATACAAACAAACAGTTAGCAAGCAAAGCTAGCACCAACTTAGCCTATCTTGCTGTAAAGAACACTGCAATTTTTTTGTGAGGTCCATTTTAATATTGTCTAGAGATTATTTTGTTGTCATTTTAATGGCCCACTAGAGCTCAGCTTAGAAAAGATGTCTTAAAATGAATGGCTATAATAGAGAGTCTCCTCTAATGTTTACTACTATTTTACTTGATGGCTTAAATGGTCAAATCCCATCCATATGCATGGAGGTTAATTCACAATTCTAATTCTCCAATATAAGTCCAATAATGCTCTATGTTTGTTATTTTTAATTTATTATTTTTTATTATTATAGGGAAAGTCATTGCAGTCTGTTTAAATACGATATTTGTGGTTACAACATTGTGAGATTGTCCAGTAAATGTTAATCCTGTTTGACCCACAACTGTGTTTTTCATTTCGGCCCCTTGAGAAATTGAGTCTGACATCACTGGACCAGAGCATTAAAACCACATTTTGACCATCACTCAAACTTAAATAATTTTTTAACCTTTTTTACAACTACAAGTTACAAATTAATACAAATTAAGAAGGAAATACATTTTGCTTTGTCACAGATTATTTTCCATATCTCTACCATCACACACTTGTCTTTCTTCACTTGCCTTACAATTTGCCAAGGTCATACTCATTTTGACATATGTGGTTTGGGCATAGAAAGCAGTGAAGTCTGTTTTTCTCCTCTGTGCCTCAACGCAGGGCCAGGTTGGTAATGCCACTGTGAGAAACACAGCTGCAGCTGGTTACAGGCCGCCAAGGGAAGTAACAGCAGCCAGTCCATTACACAGCAGCCACTATATAGCTGTAACCTTTTCTCCCTCACTTCATTATACATTCTCATTACTTCCAAACCTCATCATCATCATCATCATCCAGGCTGAGGCACTGCACAAAATATATATATATCTATATATATATAAAAAATTCTGACCTGTGTTTACATGTTGAAGGCATTACTAAGTTCTGCAGTTTATTAACTGAGCACGGACATGGTTATAAATACTGTCACGCAGAGGGCACAGTGGTTTAAAGATTACCTTCCATAACTCTTACAGACGGTGGCTATTACTAAGGAAGCACAGGCTCCGTAGGAGCAATGTTCAGGGTTATAATGCACCATTCCACAGAATTAGCATGAATATCTACACAGGTATTGTCCAGATTTCTATGTTCCTGAGCAGGGGTTATATAATGCAAATATCCAAACCACAAAACTTGACATTGTGATTGTAGCACTTTAGTTTTAAGTCTTACGTGGATGTGATTTCCCTCTGGCTTGACATACTGTATCATCTGAAGGAAAATGTGAAGCAGGTAATTTGTAATCACTAAAAAATCACTTTTTTACTGATCCTATAAAAGATGGTGTGGGTCTGTCATGATCTAATAGCTGGCCTGTTTTTTTTTTACACAGCAACCATGTCTCTCCTTTTATAACAGGTTTTCTGATGTGTCATGTAGTTGTCAGCAGTGTGGGAATGGATTAACCCCTGACGATTATAAAGAAATCCTGTCTTTTTCCTGTTGTGTTTTCTTTGTAAATAAAAAATAGTGTGGGCTCAGGTCAGCACTGACCACTCTGAAAGACCAGCAGTTCGTAGCAGCCTGCGTTTGCTGAGAGGCTGTCTGTTATAAAACCACTTTCATGCTTTTGTTTGCTGATGTAGTTAGTCACCAAATCCTCCTCAGTTCCCATTTCACAGGAAAATGCTGAAGCGGGGCTGCATTATCATGACACAAGCACTAAAGGAACCAACCAGCTCAGGTGTTTTAACTATGATAATAACTGCCGTCGTTACACCAAAAAGTCCCAGAGTTAAAGGAAAATCCCACAACACACACAAAACCAAAGGCCACACAGGTGTTTTTCTGTTTTTGAAACCTCTCTTAGAGCCTCTCTGTTTTCATTTCACATCCCAAATTAACAGAGATCAGCCCCATTTAATGTTTCCAACAAGCTGACAAGGTCATGGTGGAAAAACACCAGGGTAAAGCATATTTCTTAGTTGCTCAGCTGTAACAAATGGTGTGGTGGAACCTGCTGGGTCTGTTCTTGTTCCCCTCCCTGCCATTATCATGACCTCCACAGGCTCTGCGGAGGTTTCTGCTTTATTAAAACATCTCACAGGTCACATTGCACAGATCATTGTCGCTATACAGTTTTTGTCTCACTCTATCTCTTTTAGTGTCACATGAAACCTTAAACATCCAATCAGTTTAACTGCCATCACAGTCGAGAGAGACTTGAACAGCATGCTTTCTTCTCTGCCACATGTCATGAGTCCATGACATGTGAAGTAGAAGCAAGAGATTGTGAGTGGAAGTCTCACCTGATGATGACGCACTGGTTCTCTCGGTCGATCATCATGTTTCTGTACATGTTGTCTGCCAGGGCGTAGATGTGAGGGGGGTTTTCATATTGAGCCTGAAATTTCATGAAAAACAAAAGTCACCACAACCCATGCCATGCTATTTCTTTGAGGACAGGTATATAGATTTCTATTGTTATTTTTCAAACTAAAATGTATTCATTTTTCTTCTTTTTCTTTTGGCTGCCTCTTCTGCTTTGACACCAACTATCTCTATGTCCTTTCATAGAGATAGTGGTCTATCTCTGAGGTCTTTCTCCTCTCCTCTTGCATGTCAACTGTCTCTATACCATACATCCTAGCAGCTCTCACTGCTGTTATAAAGCGTCCCTTTAAACCCTTCTGCTGTTCTTCTGTTACAAATCACCACTAACACTTGTCTGAATGCATTTAAAAACAGGAAATAAACTAAGGATCCAGTATGGTTTTGTGCACGGTAACTTAAACAAACACAAAATCCCATGAAACGAGTGGAAAAAAATGAGGATTTTAAATCATAATAGGAACAAAATTTGCTGTCTGAGCTCAAGAACATCATCTTCACAGTTTTATCTAATTATTCACCATCAATCTTACCTCACTTAAATGCAGCCATAGTCAGCCAAATTGTAGGATTTGGCCCAAGTGGTGTGAATGTTTTAAAAGCCACTAAGATTTTAAGTTTGTTTCAGGCCTGTGAGGGAGACCGACCCACTGACTCAGCAGGCCAGCCAAAGAAGACAAACTACAGAACTACAACTTGGCTCCAAAATTACAGCAGTATCTGTGTCAGTGTGATAGAGAAGTTCTGCATCTGCATCCATCCAACTTTATCCTTTAGGCTGTTGCCATCTTACACCACTTCAATGATACAACAGCAGAACTCAGCCAGGAGCATCAATTACATGTACACAAGTGCATACACATGTGACCTCTGAGGTTTAACTAAGATGAGGTTGTACTTACAGCTCCTTGATACATCTCGATTTCTTTTTCCCCAAAATACGGCATCTGCTTGAAGGGATTGACTGAGATAAGCACAGGCCCGATGTATGTCTGGTAACATGACGCATTAAGGATCACGCAGAGAAGACAGACAAGAAAATGCACCTGCATTTGTTTTTAAAGTCTGTCTACATTTTTGATGAAAAATGTCAAAACACTAAAACAGACCGATTTTTATATCTGATGCGGTCAGTCATCACAAATCTGGGATCTTGGATGGGTTCATTTTTCCTTTGGGAAAAATAAATAATACATTTGAACTATTCTCAAAGTCAGCCTATATTATTGTACACAAGAGGCATAAACAGAGCACAAATATAAAATAACTTTAAGGTAAAGAATTTTAAGACGTTAAATTTCAAAACACTGACATCCGAGTGAGCAGCAGTGGCTAATTTAGGGATCAAGGCTGAGCCTAAATAAGTATATGGTGCTCAGAAAATAGCAGAGAACAAACTGACCATGCAACACTGTGAGGTTTTATGCCCTCAAGCAAAAATGACGCTCAAGGCAAATAAAGCTGCTATTGTGGGTGGCCTGCAGCGACCTACAGCGACCCTCAGTCCTGGCCAGGAGTCCTCACAGTTACCACCATTGATGGTCCCAAATAACAGGCCGAACTCAAAGCTGTCAAACCTTAAAATGCCAACTTTTACGAAACTTTTTTTTTATCCCAAGCATTGGCCAGCCAATGTGGATGAAGCTTATGTAATGAGCAGCTTTGAGAACGCCCATCGCTGCTTTCAAAGCCCTTATTCATTCGTTCATTCAACTCATTTTATGTCATGAACAGCCCATGTGTGAGAATGTGCATCTCTGTGTGCGTGTTTAGCCACAGAGGTAGTTTTAAAGCCCTTAACTTAGCATTAGCATGATGTACTGTACCAAAATGATAGGTTACAGTGTAGTTCATGTTTGAAGCTCAACTGCAGAGAAAAGGGATTAGGACGACTTCAAAAAAGATCACTGAGAAGTCGCTGTTTTTCACACCGTTTTGTTCACATTTTGCACCACGGTGAGAACAAAACCAACACTGGTGAGGTAACAGGACTTCCAGGTATTGAGGGAGACATGAACAGAGAGGCCCTTTGCCCCCTTGCTCACATCAGTGTCTGGGTGGAAGGCGTCACCTCCTAACACTGACCTATTACTAACTGCTACTGTGAATGACCATTCAGCTAATCTGGTAACAGAATATATGAGAGGAGACTCAGCTATTCCTCACTGAGCCGTGAACTGTGACTGTAAACAAAGGATACAAAGATGTAGTCATCCATGTATCTCTTCTTGAGGTTCTCCACAATGGCATCCTCATTGATCTTGCTGAGCAGCACCATGTCATCCACTCCACTGTGTTTGACATTGTGGCTCTGCCAGTGGTACCGTTGGTGCCCCCGGCTCCCCTGTAATAAAACACAATACATGTACAATAGTTAGTTTACTGATAAAGTCACAAGCACAGATGAATCCAGGTTGTATTATTAATTTCACTAAGGAAAAGCACATTTGGTTTTGAAGCACATTCAAAGAGCTCAGTCCCCAGTCGAGGGAGTGTGGTTTTATCTCACAACTGAGATAAATGGTCCAAAAAAAGAACCAAAAAAAAAAAAGTTAGAATCACTCCAGCAAAAAGCTCCAAGTCTGCAGTTTTTCTGATCCCAGCAGCACACTGAGCCGTGTTTACTTTAAAAAAGTGCAAGGTCAGATTCCCTAAAGTGCTCTGTGGTATTTGTTCAAGTGCTGAAGATGCTCTGACCCATCTTTAATTCACACACTAACAACCTGGTTTCTCCCTACATTCCTGTTTTTGTTTTAGCTCAGTGACTTTGTGGAGAACTGAGGTCATTCATCATGTGTTATGAGTCAATGTTGTCTGGCTACTGTGAATGAGAATGAGAGACACAATGTGCTGTCGGGAGTGTGCCTCTTTCTCCTGGAAGGAAAATCATTTGGACCGCCACAGTGTCCAGCACGTTAGTCAACACTTACTTTAACTCTTGACATCCTCAGTCCTTAAAGAGGAAGTGTTACGATTGTATGAACTGAGAGAAAAAATCTCGAACAACATCACGAACAAAAAAACAGTAAGATGGTATTAGAAGTTGCCTGCTTGACTCCAACTCTTCTCACTTGTTTTAGAATGACAGTGGCTATTTTTACAATCATGTAGCATGTGATTTTTTTTGTCTATAAAAACTGTATTTATTTACATATAAGTTACTTTAAAACAGACACAGCTCTGTACATGTTTATGAAGTCGATTTATACTGTGCTAGTTTTCTGTTGCTTTCAGCGTATGACCGAGAAGGTGGGAGTTATGTGTGTTAATTCTCTACAAATATTCTATTGTGAGTTGTACAAAATATTCTGTCATAATGGTATTATACAAGGGCACACAATTGCACTGTTCATTTGAAGAAGGCCAGCATCGACAAATGCTACTTCTAAGTAGCTGTTCTTGTGAGGGTCTGCTTTAAAGTTAAGCAAACCCACAAGGAAAAGACCTAATACCTACTCTGAGTCTGTCAGTGTGGAATAAAGAATTTTTTTTCTTTCTACCTTGTATTATTTTTAGTCTAGATAATACAATACCATAAAAGGAAAAGACCAGCTTGATGTTGTAATGTAATAATCCCCTAATGTATTGATCTTGCAGAGAACTCTAATTATTTCCAAAAGTTGCCACAGCTCCTATGTAAGACTACATGTATCACTTTCTGAACTGGATGGGGTGACATTGGTTCTGTCGTTTATTAGGGTCATATTACATAACTTCAAACTTCTTTTCAGTTCTTTTCTTTCAAGTGTATTTTCCTGTATAATTATATGTTAACTTTCAGGGGTTTTGGCATTTTGAAAACTGCAATATTATGCAGCAAAAACACTATCATATAATACAATCATTATAATTCAGTCCAGTGATGTTCTTTTTTTGAAGTGAAATAAAACATATCCAAAAACTTGGATCCCAGAACAGATTGTTTCAACATAGAAATAGGTTGGTTACATTTATTTTCAAAAATAACTAAAGCAAGAACTCACTTTTTAAACATGTTCATGAAATGTGATATGGTTACGATGACAGGAGTTATTCAAAGTGAATGTAAATGGGGAAGCTGCTGGACTGAATCTTCAGATCATATCCAATAACACAATGAACTGCTGTTTCAGTACTTTTCAGCACACGTCTATTTTATACCAAATATACTCTCTTTTTTACTACATATGGAACACTGCCATTTAAATTGAAAAATTATGATAAGGTTAAGAAAATCTAGCCAAAAATGACACTGGAATACATCTCTCCATATGAAACAACATTTATCACTTTTCAGAACTGAGCCCAACGTCTCAGTCAAAGGACACGTGGATTGTTACAGCTCCAACGTGGGCTTTAGACGGACCACAAACCTTGGTCAACTTACTAACTTCCAACTCATTTGAAAAATGTTCCTGATCTTTAGTCTGTATCTTCCACTGTTCATTCTTTTCAGGGTTGCATGAGGAAATGGATCCAGTCCCAGCGTTAATCGGTTGAGGTTGGGATACACCCTGGAAAGTTTGCCAATCCATCGCCAAGAGACAAACAACCATTCACACTCATAACTGTGGTCAATTAGAGTGCCCAAATATTGGACTATAGGAGGAAACCAGAGTAACCAAGTAAAATGAACGCATTAACATGTAAACTCTGTACAGAAAGACTACCAGGAATTACCGGGAAGAGAACAAGCAATATTATTACTGTAAAGCAAGAGCACTGACCACTTTTCCACCGTCTGCTCTCCATCTTCAGTCGGTTTCAACAGGTCAATTAAACCTACTTTTAATTCTGCTGGAACAAAGTTAGGTATTTTATTATGATAACAAGAGGAAAGGGAGGCAAGCAGAGAACACTGCTGTTAATTATCTATAAGGTGAGGATGAAAAAAGGTAAATAAAAAATAATAAAATGTAAAAAATAATAGGAGAAAATTAGTGCATTTATTTAATAAATTCAATTAATTTGTTCAGAAAATGTTGCCACAGCTCAGCTGATTAACAGGACCTGAGGACACTCAAAAATGTTGATGTAAAAACTGGCATTGGTGTTTTACAGTGATCAACAGTACATTAAGACACTGATCTACTGGAACAAATTTAAGCTCAGTGATCAAAAGTGTCCACTAGGCTTCTTAGTTAAAGTAGTAGAAAATGTTTCTCTAAAGGCAGATGTTAACAGGATTCTCTGAACAGATCCAACCATCAAGTGAATGTTCAACCTCTCAGGCTCTGCTATGTCTGGAATTAGTGTGAAGATTCATTAGAAAAAAGGTAATGAAGTGAAGAAGGAGGAGGTGAATGTCCCATTCTCAGAGGACAGTTTCATCTGTTTTGATTTGTTGGCCTTACTTAATAAAGCTGAAGGAGTCGGTAAAACATTGTGACATACTAAAGCAGCAGCTGCACACATAAAAACAAAGATGTGAGGAGGTGCCCAGTACAACTAAACCCCTCTGTTAGCTGCTGACTGAGCAGTGCCAGAACCACCAGGGACTGAAGGTCATTACAGTCAAGCAAACATGGTGTGGCGTTGAGAGTTACATCTATTACATGTTCAAGGTTTATAATGTTTTAGCCAAGGTTTTATTTAAAAAAAAATCTTGAACAAGTTTATATTCAATTAAATCTGGTTCTAGTTCAGTTACTCCGTGAACATTTGAGTTTTATCTCTCTGCATGGAGGCGAAGTCCATGCTTTTGTCAACAAACAGTAAAAGAAAAAAAAGGCTCTACATTTAAACCAAAACAACCCTGACGTGTGTTTTAAAGGCTGCCAATAACTTTTTTTATTAGTCGATATAAAATTATACAAGGCTACTTTCATGTTCTACGATAAGAAATCCCTTTAACTGCAGTGCATCTGAGGAAATGTAGGTCTGTGGTGGAGCACAGCAAACACACTGAAACACACACAGACAGACACATGGTGCAAACACACTGGGGACATCTGGCACAACTGGTTTCTTTGGTGGTCATAACAACACCATCACCATGGAACCACAGACTTCCTCCTGAGCCAAGCCACACACACACACACAGAGTAAAACAGTGAGCATCTAACAACGTCAACCCACGGTGATAAAATGAACTAATTATATAATGTCATAACAACAACAGGGTTAAGAGAATCTTCGAGGCAATTTTCACAGATAGGTTAATCACTATTCATTTTGAGAATTGTGGCGATAACTAAAAACTACACTACAGGACCAGCACTTTTGCAAGAAGTTAATACTAAGGAATTTTAACATCAGATTTTATCCATAAGCCCAGGCTTTTCCCTTCATGCAAATACCATTACCATATATGGAGAGTGTTGTGCAGCTCTGGCTCTAGGTACAGGAAATGGCTGGGTTTGATTCAGTATCATAGGCGGCAGTTTTCCCCTCATTTCTCCATTCTGTGCCGCTCTCCTTTTCCACACCAGAGTTCAGCATGTGTTTGGATCGACTATTTTGTTCTGCCCACTGAGAAAGGCCTGGATGAATGCCATGGGAACAGACTCATTCCTTCTAAAAAAAGATACAACTCCACTTATTAATCACTCTCCTCTGAAGGGATAGTGATAATATAGTACAGTTTAAGAACTAAGGGGCTAACTGAAGTCTAATTTAAAAACTGTTTCTGTGTGTGTGTGCCCAAGTCAAAACTCTAACATTCAGTATTAAAACTTCAACTACATAAGAAACCACACTCTATCAAGAGCTGAGTGTTGCTATAAACATGCACTGTGCCCTGGACATTATTTAAGACCTCAGGTCTAATAATGGACATGCCATGATTACAGTAGATCAGAGCACAGAGCAGTCAAGGTAGAAAGGTGTGGTGGAGACATAATGGATATATTTGGCCGGGGGATGTTGGAGATGTAGGTACCAGGCAAGAGGAGTAAAAGGAGAAGATTTATTGATGTTGTGAAAGAAGACATGGAGCTTGTTATGTCAAAGCAGAGGACGCAGGGGTGAGATGGAGGCAGATGACCCATGAAGGGAAAACTGGAAACAGAGGAGGAGGAAGAAGAAGAAAAAGAAGAAGAACAAGAAGAGGAAGAAGAAGTGGGCTGATAAGACCATGTGTATTGGAATAGTGTCATCACGTTCCTGTTCTGCTGACCTGTTTGCTGTCATCAGTGCAGTCTTATCTCATTGTATGTGTTGTTATGGCAGAAGCATGGTAAAATATTAACCAACTGCCAGTCAGTCAATCCCTGATACCTATTCACAGCACCCAGTTTCATAGGTCTGGACTCTTTTGGTCAGATTCATTAGCTTCCAGGCTGCCTTGGCAAAACTTTGTCCAGTTAAGAAAACACAAATATATGTGTGAGTGTAACTGTAGGAAAAGTTCGACAGAACCACCAC